GGGGGGGGGGGGGGGGGGGGGGGGGGGGGGGGGGGGGGGGGTCAAATGAACCATTTTTAATCGAAAATTTTAGTGTTATGTATTTTGAAGGGTTTTTTGAAGGCTTTAAAATTAGATTGAATTTGTTGAAATTACCTTGTTTGGGCATGATTTGGAGAAGTCCAGTTTACCTCACCCTTCCTAACTCTGTATACCCTAAGAAAAAAATTATGAATAATGAAAAAAATTAATTTTGTCTTTTCAGATCACAAAAGTTTGAGTTTTAATCTGACACTCAGTTTTAGTTTTTGTAAAGAGGGAACAATTAGTCTTTCAGAAATTTCAATGAGACTTACATTGGTAAAATATCATATTTCAATGGACAATATTTTTAAATATTTCAAGGGGACATGCATTCGTAGAATATCATATTTCATTGGGTAATCGTTTAAAATATTTTTTATCAGCTATGAGAAAGTTAATTAAAGTTCTTTCTTCATAGCCAAAGATTTTTCCTCGCTTAGCTATTTTTAAAAATTTTTCCTTATTCTAAGTTTAAGATTTGATTAGCTTATTGAACAATTCCTATTATGAAATATCGAGTTCGATAAATCGATTAATTAAATTGAAATTCTCTATATCTTGAGCTTTCCCGACATTAAATTTAAATAATTTTGGTATTTACTTAAATACCTATGGTTAAACAACTCCACTTCACCTCGTTCTCGCCTCTAGAGTCCAATACAAAAAAGAAATAATGAAAAAAAAAATTTCTCTTTTTAGATCACAAACGTTTGGGTTGTGATCTAAACCTCAATTTTATTTTTTGTAAAGAAGAAAAAATTCATCTCAAAAATTTAAGTGAATATCATAACTCATTGGATAATACTTTTCCTCGCTTATCCATTTTTAACATTTTTTTTCACTCTAAATTTAAGATTTGATAAGTTTATTGAACAATTTCAATAAACTTATTAAATCTCAATTTCTAAAAATTGATCAATTAAAATAAACTTCTCTATATCTTCAGGTTTTTCGACTTTAAAATTAGATATGATTCATCCAAAATTATTTCAAATGAATCGTATGCTATTAACTTTTTAAATTAAGGCCCGGGTGGATTATCTTTCGAACGTTATCTCCATTGTTTTTCCATCTTCATAATGTAAAATATATCACAATTTCCATTGGATTTTATATCACGCAGGAGTCCCTAAAAATTATCATTGTACAGTCAAAAAAAGTAGAAAAAAATAAACATTTTCAACGAGCGTTTTTGATAAAGGTTAAGAAATGAGTCCGATAGAGAGGAAATGGTGAATGGATAATTAATTTATCATGGTAACTAACGATCTGACTACCATTGACTACTGTGACAAATGACGACCTAACAGCTATTAGATACATCAAATTATTAATTTGCACTTTCCTCCCTATTGGGTTTATTTCCCAATATTATTCAAAAACGCTCTTTGGACATGTTCAGCTTTTTTCAACGTTTTTTTTTTATTGTACAATCATAATTTTTGGACATTCCAGGGCTATGTAAAACTGAATAGCAATTGGAGATCAGATCAGATTATCAAAATGAAAAAAAACACCCAAGATTACTTTCGAAAGATAATCTACCCGGGCCTTAAATTAAAACTAGACATTTGCGCGCGCTTTCGCGCGTGCTCATCTGTTTGTTGTGGAAATGAAAAATAGTATATTTCGTTACGAATGCGGAAAAGTGTTTTTTGGCGAGTGGGAGGTTTATATCACGAGCCTTCGGCTCGTGATATAATCCCACGAGCTAAAAAACATTTTTTCACGAGTTACGAAGAATATTTTTCATCACAATGTGGCGGAAATTGGACTTTTAGGCACGCGGAGCGTGCCGAAAAGTTCACTTTTCGTCACAGCGTGATGAAAATCGTATTTATTAAACCTCATATACTCATAGATGTTTTATAAATATTGATAATGACTTGAAGAGAATTAAAAGAATGAAGAGTGAAACAGCAATGAATCATTTTTAATCTTCGATTACTTCTTTTTTTTTTACTTTTTAAAATAATCCGATTAAAATCTGTAATTATTGAAAAATGAGGGGAGGGTTATGAATTGATTTCCTAGAAAACTGAAAAAATTTCTTGAATTCTTTGGAAAATTTCGCAGTTTTCCAGATAACCGTAGATCTTCAAAGATTTTTCTCGAATTTCTTGGGAAACCGAAGAATTTTCATGAATTTTGTAGAGTTTAGAATTTATGTATGAAAATCTGAGAAGCAAGAATTGATCATTTTTGCGGATGACAAATATCAAAAAATTAAAATTTGGGAAGTGAAGAATAATTTGTGAGTGCAAAAAAATTTAGAAATGCTGTTTTTTTTCTCATAATCAACAGTTAGGCAATTTAGATGTGTTTTGATATAAAGATAAACTTCACACATGAAAAAATGAAAAATATGACGCAGAAAAAATTTTTGGCATTTGAAGAATTTGAAAATACCGGGAATTTTTTTCAGCTACTACTTCACGTGACTCATTGATCAATCAGAATTGAGGATTAGCGGTCAGGCCGTTTCGAGATATTTCGATGTATAAAACAACTTCACATTTCTTTCATCTTTAGTGAAATAGGATAATATAAAGGAGGAAGGAGGATAGGAGGATTAGTAAATAGGAGGATAACCACTAAATACCCATTTAAATAACCAGCCTTCAAACATCTCCATTCCACCTCACCGTCTACAATTCTCAAACCCCCAACAAAATAATGATTAATAATTTTTAAAAATTAATTTTCTCTCTTCAGATTCCAAATGGTCGAGTTCTGAGCACCCCCAGGAGACCCAGAAAGCCCCCCAGAAGGACGCCGCCCAGGAGGAAAGCCCACTACTCCCCCAGTTTTCATAAAACCCCCCCGAAGTGAAAAAGCAAAAAAGACTCTAAAAAACACCGAAAACCGTAAAGTGCGCTCGTAATAATGGCAGAGGAGGGTGTGGAGGTGAAGCAAGTGGGTCCCTCATCACCTCGCAGTCCCCACACATCAGTGCAAAAGCCACCGAGTCCCCGATCCCCCAGACACGCCAGAAGGATCAAATTAACAGATCAACAGTTGGAGACAACAACTAAAGAGGAATTGGCAGCCAAGTGGCGTGAACAGGACTTGTATATCGAGTGTCTTGAGGCACAGTCGGCAGCCCAGGAAGGTACTGACAAAAGACTAGAACGAGGGGTGATTACCTCGTTCTCAGAAACAATAATTAACATTAAAGAGATCATTTTTTTTAAGTTGAAGAGAGAAAAACATTTCGAGAGTTATGACATTAGAACGAGTTTTTTAGAGACTTTAAGATGGTTTTGTATTGACATTGAGACATATAAGATTTGTTTATTCATCATTATTGAATTATTCATGATGTTGTTTAGATTAAGGATTTTAGAATTAAGATTTGCGAAGGATTTCTGTGAAGTTTCGTGATTTGTTCGAGTGATTTTGTGATTTTGTGATGATTTTTTGGTCAATTCTGTGGGTTTTTTTTCAAGTGGAATATCAAACAAGTGATTGTGAAGTGATGTTGATATTTATTTCATGAGGAAAAGTGTTTTTTTGGGGAATTTTCTGCTGTTCTCAGTCGCTGATGAATTTTTAATAATTGAATTGCTGTTTTTCACACCTGCATATTTCTGCAAATTCACATGCAAGTGTGCAGAACAGTTTGAATAAATTAAAATGAATTCCTGAGTCTGGTTTGTTCGTTTGGTTGATCGATTTTTGAAAATTCTTGATTTTTCTAAATTGGGAAATGGATGTTTTTTCGGAGATGCTTGGAGTTTTTTGAGGAACATTGGACCCAGGTGGACTCTCTGAATGATAATTTTGTTATTGTAATTTTGGCTCTCAGGGAATGTTCATTGTTAACGATTTTTTGTTTTTTGTTAATTTGATTATTTAGGGGAGTTGGCGAGTTTGAGGGAGTCTGAGGATAAATATCGACAGCAGTATGGGGAAGCGTCACACAGGGAGAAGATACTTGTGAGGAGACTCGCTTCCAAGGAGCAGGAGTTACAGGAATATGTGGTAAATTACATTTCAGTAGCGAAACGGTAAAACTATTCAAGTCAACTTGGATCTTAGCTAAGTTCTTGGCGAATATCTCTGAATCTAGGGGAGATAGCTAAATTTTCGTAAAGAACTTTTTTGTTGCTCTCGATTTGCTCTACAAAAAATGTTTCATAAAAAATTTTGCCATCTGCCTTAGATTCCGAGAAATTCATAATCAAAATCGACTTGATTTTTTTTTTCATTTTTTTAAGCCATCTTTTTTATTTTTCTTAGTGTAGTTTTTTTACTTGCGAGACTCTCAATTCTCGTTTTCCATCGTTCATGTGAATTCCAGAATCAAATAGCGGCAATGAAAGCCGCCCAATCACCGTCCGCTTCATCTCTACGATCGACATTATTGGATCCAGCTGTCAATATTTTAATTCAAAGATTGCGACAGGAGTTGATAACGACAAAGGCCAAGCTTGAAGATACGCAGAATGAATTGAGCGCGTGGAAATTCACTCCCGACAGGTAACAGCATCGATTTCTCCATCTTTTAGGCATTGAATTCACTTTCATATAATTTTTCCAGCAATACTGGTAAGAGACTGATGGCCAAGTGCAGACTTCTTTATCAAGAGAATGAGGAACTCGGTAGGATGATAGCCAGTGGGAGAATAGCCAAGTTGGAGGGGGAGTTGGCACTGCAGAAGAGCTTCAGTGAGGAAGTTAAAAAATCTCAATCTGGTGAGTTCTCAGATTCTTTCAACAGACGATTGATTGATTAAAATTTTATTTACTGTGCATTGTGTTGTATAAAATAAAGTAATGACAAAGTCATACAGCAGTGGGAGATGGCCAATAATGTGTACACAGGGCTCACAATATGAAAAAGAACGAAAACAAGTGGGAAATTGGTCGCGTATTGTATATAATACAGTTATTTTTGCTAAAAAATTAGCAATATGCTTCCGAATGGTTATTTTGCACATCATTTCCTTCTATCGTGTATAATTCATTGTTTATTTCGTTTTATTAAATTGAATAAGATTTCTTTTCAACTAATTTTGTCAGATTTTCAACTTAGTTGAATGTTATCATCGTCATTATTCTTATTATCCATTTCTTCTATACAACCGATTGTCTTTTTTACGGTTCCATCTCTCCCTTCAACCCTTCGATAAAATGTTAATAGAAAAATTTTATTTACACATACTTGAATGAATTTGAAACATCACATTTGAAGAAACCATCAGAAAGCTCACTTTTAGGGAAATTCATGAAAAATTCGAAATTTTCAGCAATCATCATAAAAATTAAATCAACCAATATAGCTATCGTAATCATCTTTTAACTTTGATTTAATGGCATTAAAACATACATTTTACGCTATGATTGAATTCATTTGAAGCATGATATTCAAAGACATTCCCGGAATTCTGATTTTCAAAAAATTCAAAATTTTTGCAAATTTTCAAATAAGTCAAAATAACAATTATTGCTATTGCCTTCATCCTCAAACTCGCTCAAAAGGACATCCAAAAAAATTTTTTAAGCCATCATTCAATCAATTCAGAACATTTTTTTGAGCTATCGTGGAACAATCGATTTTCGAGAACATTCGAAAAGTATAAAAACTAATCGATGAATTAAAATTTAATTTATGGCACGCCGTGCAATAAGTCGAGTTTATCGCACGATGTGGCATAAAATAGTATAGACCACTCGGACATAAACTTCGTTTTCAACGAATGTGAAGTTTACAGGCCGAGCCGAAGGCGAATTTGTGCCCTTGTACTCTAATGTACTATAATGGCGATTGATAAGGCCTACATTTGAAAAATGAAACTTTTTCGTTTACTGAACCTTTTTCGAAAATTATTATTCACTATAAAAGTAATGAGAATTATTCTGAAAATATTCTTCATTATGAAAGTTCCGAAAAATGTCTGAATGACATTATAAATGATCAAAGTAATAAAAAACAATTGAAAGAATATTACCCATTACTAAACCAGCGGCTAATATTATTGTATTCAATATTATCGAGTCGTTACAAAATTTGTTTCTTCCAGAGCTCGACGAATTTCTCCAGGACCTCGACGAGGACGTGGAGGGAATGCAGAGTACAATTTACTTCCTCCAGCAAGAATTACGTAAAGCACGTGAATCAGTGACCCTCCTGCAGCAGGAGAATGCCTCTCTAAAATCAACGAGTGATCAAAATCTGTCAAACGGTCTGTCCCCGCACACTCCACCTCTCAAAAAAGAGGATAACGACGATGATGATGTTAAAAGTGAAATAAACAATATGAAATTGGATAATGATACCAGTGGTGGGTGTAAAATTGGTGCAAGAACTCCACCGTTAATGGATGATAAAACGACTGTTGAAAAATTAGATACTAATATCGATAATAATGACGATAGTTCGAGTGATTCAGCAGCATTAATTATTAAAGTTGATAATGAAGAATTGACAGATCGTGAGTATGACGATGATGATGATAAAATGAAGAAAAAAATATGTAGGACTAAATGTGGTAATACTAATGCTAATGCCAATGGTGATGAGATTAAAACACGGTGCAGAGACAGAACTAAGAGGGATAATTGTGATGATAATGAGAGTGATGATGATAGAGTTAAAATCAAGAAGAAAAAAAAAAGTGACAATTCGATGGATTTTAATGATGCCGATGATGATGCCATTGTTATTACCAATGGGGAAACATTGCAGAGTGATCCTGAATGAAGTTTCATTCTTGTCATTGAGTGAACAAGTTTTTCCCCGTTTTTTTTTCATTATTCAAAGAAATATATAAATTTTTATGGAGAAAAAACCATTCATTTGTCGTGAAATTTGAGTTTCGAGGCTGGGTGATGAGCAACGTGTAAATTTATAAATAAATAATTGATATTAAATATTAATTGAAATACTTGTGTATGTATGAGAAATTTATAGATATATTATTATATAATATACCAGAGAAATGAACAAATAATTAAGAATTATTGAGGATTTAATTATTGTGAGCAGTGGATCACAAAATTCGAGGTTTCACGGTTGAAGAGGGAAATGTACTAATTTTTTTTTCGAAATTTCTCATTCTTCCGTTGGTTTTTTTATGGCACAATTGTACAAATCGAGGAAAATAAAAAATTTAATAATTTTTACAGGTGATTTAAATGAATATGTAATTACGGAAGAATAAAGAAGAACAACAATTATTGTTTTATATGAAGAAAAATGGATTTTTTGTTTTATTTTATTAAACATACTGTGGGGTACTACCCTTACCTACAGAGAGGAGGAAGCGTCAATACAAAAAGAAATCAAAATAATAGTGCAGAGAAGAATAGCTCTAAACTAACTACTCTTGGGGGCTAACCAATGAAATCGCTGGGAGCGAACCAATGATGGGGCTCAGCCAATGAGATCACTGGGTTCCCCTTGATCTCATTGGTTGGCCCCCAAGAGTAGTTAGTTTAGAGACCACTTGATGGCTCTTACATCTACGTTGCGATCACGAAAACCCATGAGTATAAAGTGTTTTTTGGCTTGTGGAATTAAAACACTTTTCCGCACTCGTATCGAAATAACTATTTTGCATTTTCTATCAAACATTGCGCATGTTAATTTACACTCAACATTGGCAATTTACAGATACGCATTCGTGGGAGTTCATGCTCAATGAGCTAATGAGATTAAAGGTTTATAAGCCGCGGCTTTTTCGAGCTAAAAAAATCCATTGTAATAATCGCTGTCAAAGTCAGGGCTTTCTGTTCTTTTCTCTGGAAGAACAGGGATTGTGGTACTGGGCCGCCGAATGGTGGTTGTGGTCTTGGGCTGACGAACCGTGGGGCTTTCAGTGAATGGCTCCCGAGGGGTGCTGGCTTCCGGAATAGGATTTTTATTAATTGAATCGTCGTCGTTATTATCATAGTTGTAATCGTCATCGGGATATATCGGCGAACTCTAAAAAAAATGTTCCATAGACTGTTAGAATTTTTAAAACGAATTATGAGCATACCAAGAGCTATTGAAGGGCGGGGAAAAATTTGAGCCATGAATTCGCAGCTGAAGAGCGCTGGAAAAACGTGAAAAATGGCTTTAAAAATTTATTCATTTAGCAGAAAACGGGGGAAATGAGTTGAGGGTGATCTGAAGAGGATAAATAATTTTAATGAATGTTTAAAAGTATGAGGTGGGGCGCCGCCATCTTTAACGTTCCTTTTGGCAGTGGGAGGGGAATCCAAGTACGATGGCGGCGCCCATTCCTGCCACCACCTCGCATTTTTGAAGATTTTTTAAAATTATTTATCGTTTTCGAATCACCTTCACCTCGTTCTATCCAGTTTCTGGAAAGGGAACAAATTCTTCGAGCAATCCTTCAGAGTTTTTCGTTTCCATTTACCAGTGAATTAATGGCGCAAAGTTTTCCCCGCATTTCAGTAGTTTTTTTTACTCCCGAGCCCTCTTGATATGAGTTTTAAAAAAATTGACAATTGAGTATGAATATATATTATATTTTAGTGTGCTTTACTCACATTGACCAGGTGAATTACCAGAAGCAATGCCCCAACAAGAACCCACAGCTTCATCATCACGAAAAAGAATTCAAGTGCACACCTTCCAGACACCTGACGAGAAATATCGACGAAAGAACTGGCATTGAGTGTTATTCAATAAACCAGCGATTATTTTTACGCACTTGACGTGATTTCACTGCTGCATTTCATGAATTGTAATACCCCAAGACCTCGAGAACTATCAGAAATATCTGAATGAATGAATTTTAAAGGAGTATTCTACAAATAAATCAATTGTTTGAAAATGAGAGTCCTCTTCGTGAAAGTATTTTTTTAGGAAACGAAGAGGACGAATTACTGTTTAAAATGAGAGAACATGCGAATAAAAAAGTATATTTATAACAATGATAAATATTCATTTCAAGTTACGGGATTTCGCACCGTCTCGTCATGATAAGACGTTTTTTTATAATCATGATGCGATTGAATTGTTATGTACAACCAAAATCCCCAAACAAACGTTCAAAATATTTCATTCACAACGAAATCATCACATACAAAGACCCTTGAGAATTTTAACACGAATCCACAAATTTTATTCTATTTCGTGCAATAATAACCAACTGTCCAGATTTTGCTGACCAGCGCTAAGGATCCCTTAAAATCATAATTTATTTCTAAAAGAAAACTGGAGAATTTCCTAGAAAAATCTGGAATTTGCCAGAAAAATCTAGAATTTTCTAGAGAATTCTAGAATGTTCTAGAATAGATGGCGCTACTAGCGATAAGGAACCATAAAGACTTTTTCCCTAAATGCCTCCACATAATGAAAACAGGCGTATCCACGTAAAAAAAAATAGATTTTCAATCGAAGTTTTCATCGCTTCTCACGAATTTCCCCCTAGTAATGCTATAGCAATTCGTATTCGTGAAAGCACATATGGATTTCAATCAACTTACAATAATAACGTGATGATCCTATTCTAAAAAGAACATACACTTAAGGGGAGATGGAACCCCTTTGTTTACATCAAATCTTAGAATTGTGTTTTCTCCTACAATTATTAATTTCTATCTATGAAATTACTTTATCGACTCGATTATTGCATTGGTGAGTCAATGAAGTAGTTTAATGAATAAAAAATAATAATTGCAGGAGAAAACACAATTCTAAAGACTCATATAAACGCAGGGGTTCCGTTACCCCTTAAAGTCGGTCCTATTCTAAAAAGAACATACACTTAAAGTCGATAACTATCGATATCTCGCAAGTCTGTCACGCTTATTCCTCATTGGTTCCAGTCGTCTGAGGCGGCAAATTTAATTCATGATTAATTTGATTTTCACATTTTCAATTATGATTGTTACGATTACAGCGCGCGTTCGGTTTCATCCTATTCCTGTTATAAAAAGAACTTACACTTAAAGTCGATAACTATCGATATCTCGCAAGTCTGTCACGCTTATTCCTCATTGGGTCCAGTCGTCTGAGGCGGCCAATTTCATTCATGATTAATTTGATTTTCACATTTTCAATTATGATTGTTATGATTACAGCGCGCGGCAGCGCGCGTTCGCTCTCGTCCTATTCCTGTTCTAAAAAGAACGTACACTTAAAGTCGATAACTATCGATATCTCGCAAGTCTGTCACGCTGATTCCTCATTGGTTCTAGTTGTCTGAGGCGGCAAATTGAATTCATGATTAATTCAATTTTGAGATTTTTAATTATGATTGTTACAATTACAGCGCGCTGTAGCGCGCGTTCGGTCTCGTCATAAAAAAGGCAACAAGTTGGCCGGCGCGCGGAGCGCGCGTTCGATCTCGTAATTTAAATATTTTTTAATGTCTCCCACATCTTTCAAATGCCAGATGGTCACGTGATCGAGTCACGTGGTCTGCCATATTGTTTTTCCCCTGAAAGGAATTTCGGAGCGAGAATCGCGTGTTTTTCGCCGAAAAATCGGAACAATTTGATTAATTATTTATTGACAATGGGGAATGCAGCACCACAAGCTGTTGCGGTAGAGGCCAAACCCGAGAAGGACGAGAAGAAACTCAAGCCCTGTTGTGCATGTCCAGAGACTAAGAAAATTCGGGACACTTGGTGAGAAAAAATTATTCTTTGTTTTTTCACGAAAAAATAGGTTTTCATAAATTCTCACGTGTAAATACGAAGGAATTACTATTTTTATCTCTCTTGGGGATCTTGTGGAGCGACTCAAGGTCTGTGACATGTGCGTCGGGTTGTTTTTAAGCACTCAACAATGACATAACCTTGAAAATGCCGACAAGGCGTAATTTTTCTGATGCAATTCTTTGAAAGAACATTTGGAAACAAAATTTTTTCATAATCATTGTTATTTTTTTCATCGTTTCACACTTGAGATCATATTTTGCAGAATGTAATTTACATGGTGCTCATTATATCTCATTGATTTTCAAAATTTCCCATGGATTTTCATTAAAAAAAATTGGAGTTTCTCTATTGTAAATTTTTAATAGTGAAAAAGGAACTGTTTTATATTTACAATAACTCTACATTGGCAGAGTCAAAATATCCATTTTTTTTCTTCATTTTAAAGATTTTTTCCAGACTTTGAAATGAGATTTGACTATTTAAATCGCTTTATTTATTTAGAAGATATTGAAGATTCCGTGTCCTCACTCTAGCTTAAAAACGTCTTAGTTCACTTCACCAGTTTTCCACGGAATTCCTTCTTTTTCTTGTATTGATAAGGATTATTTTTGTTTTCAGCATAATGGAGAAAGGCCAAGAGGAGTGTGGTCACCTGATCGAGGCCCATAAAGCCTGTATGCGTTACCTGGGCTTCAACATATAGATGAATCCCTGATCATTCCCCCAGGTTGTAAAAATCCACGAAAAATATTTGATCTTCGCGTTTGCACCTTCGTATTCCTTACGAATAGAGTCAGCAGTATCTTCAGGGATGTATAGTATAATTTACCTATGACCCTAGTTTAATGTATATTACTTATTGATTAATCAATGAATTAATTAATTATTTCTATCGATTCTGGTTAATTTATGCTGTTGCAAATCCACCTGTAAAATACCTGAGTGAGGTGATGAATAAAACCATTGAATATTTATTATAAATAGTCAATTTTATTCAAGGAAAATCTAGTAAAGCATATAATTTACAAATATTGACGATAATTGAGTAAATGACAGGTTTAACAATTTTTTTTGTAGCAAAATGGTTGAACTGGACGAGTCCAAGAATTTCGTCTGAATTATTTTGGAAATATGTTAGAAATTATTGAGTTTGGGAGAAATGCAGTTCGACGTTTTACTTTAAACTCCTTAGTATCCAAGATATTCACGAAATAATCGTCGAATCTCTTTGTTCTGGACTCATCTCCTGTTATTTACCACTTGACTAACGACTCAGTCATGACAAATGCTAATAAAACGAGCAAGAGTGATTCACTGAGGGAATAAATGGTAACAGCCTTCGTCAATCTCTAATAATTAATCAACATCAATCATTTACAATGAAAAATAATTACAAACTCATGAAAAAAAAATCACTATAAATAAATTCTGGGAAATTGAATCGATGGAAATGAGGAATCTCTCGATATTACTGAATATTTGGAGCTTCAGATAATTAAAGAGCAATCAATACTTGACTCAACACCTTCACATAATCTTTTTAAATTCATCTATTGATTATTAAAAATAATAGGAAAAAAATTGTATTTTAAATTCAATTATTTATCAATGATTTATTTATCATAAATTATTCTAGAAGTATGAAAGTATAGTTGTACTTTATGAATTCATTTTCTCATTCTTCTCGTTAATTTTAATTATCTTTCTCTTCGTGTTCTGTGAACGATTAATGAGGCAAATAGGTGCTCGTCTATTTCGTGATAATTAACAATTTTTTTAAAATTTGTAGTTCAACGCTCAACTGGGCTAAGCAATTATTGACTAGTTGGATTGTTTAAATGATGAAAATTAGAGGGAAAGAAATTTAATTGGTACTTTCGTATTACTGGAAATTTAAATAGTAAGAGAGAATATTTTTCTTCTTTTTCAATGAAAATTTTGTCTTCTTTCGATGGTTCTAGACCTCGAGTCCAGCCACGAGGTTTCATTATTTCGATTTTTTCTCACACTTTCTCGAAGTTGATTGGGTCGAAAATATGTTGAGCAGTGGTTGTCTCGATTTTATTGGATTATTTCTCCTCGATTTTGAGTTTTTGAATTTTCTCTTATTGGACAAGTGGCTCTTGTCAGGCTTCAATTTATTAATTAACACACTAGGATCAGGAGGCGATGAGGTCCCGGGGTCTCTGGTGATTCTCATCTCTCTTGGGGGATTCTAAGTGTTCTCATTACTTTGCTTAACTGCAAACAGAATTAATAATTAATTCGTAATAATCATTAATCAATTCATTACGTTTTGATTCAATGAAAGAATTAATTGTTCTATTGAATCTTTTTTTAAAGAATTAAATTACTCATTGAATTAATGAAAGAATCAATTATTTTTATAATATTAAATAAATAAAATAAATATACTGTCTATAAATGTGGATAATGTTACCTGATAACGAGATTCGGAGTCCATCGTACCAACAACAGCAACAATTTGGTACTGCCTGGCCTTCATAGCAGCAGTTGATTTTCTGATGAGTCTCATGGCACCTGGTGCACTAGATGTACTATTGAACTGTCCCATCTGCACTGGTGTGTGGCTGGGATCGAGCACTAGCATTGTTATAGAGCCATCTCTCAGCTGCTCCACTCCCATTATCGTTCTACTGTGACCCTGATGTTGCAGGTAAATTGGAGGTTTGAAGTCATCACTCTTTTGGAAATATTGAAGAACCCAGTTGAACATCTCTGGGTGACTTCCATCTGAGCCAGTGGGTCGATGAAAATCCACCAGTTGACACCTAAAATCAAACATTTTTTTACAATTAATAAAAAAAGCGTCAATAAATTTCCCCAATTTCCATCATTTATAGCCCGGTGGCCTGGCGTAGTGGTTAAGGCCGTTGCCTCACAACGGATAGGTTCCAAGTTCGATTCCTGGCCGGGTAGAATGGTGAGATCTAACCATTTTTAAAGTCTTGATCAATCGCCATATAGTCTCATCAGACTCGAAGCGATATAAAATAAGCATAAAAAAAAAAAANTAGTCAATAATTGCTTAGCCCAGTTGAGCGTTGAACTACAAATTAAAAAAAAAACTCAATTATCACGAAATAGACGAGCTATTTGCCCCATTAATCGTCCACAGAGCACGAGGAAAAAGATAATTAAAATTAACGAGAAGAATGAGAAAATGAATTCATAAAGTACAACTATACTTTCATACTTCTAGAATGATTTATGATAAATAAATCATTGCTAAATAATTGTATTTAAAATACAATTTTTTTCCTATTATTTTTAATAATCAATAGATGAATTTAAAAAGATTATGTGAAGGTGTTGAGTCAAGTATTGATTGCTCTTTAATTATCTGAAGCTCCAAATGTTCAGTAATATCGAAAGATTCCTCATTTCCATCGATCCAATTTCCCAGAATTTATTTCTAGTGATTTTTTTTCATGAATTTGTAATTATTTTTCATGGTAAATGATTGATGTTGATTAATTATTAGAGATTTACGAAGGCTGTCACCATTGGTTCTCTCAGTAGATCACTCTTGCCAGTTTTATCAGCATTAAAACCCACCTCATCCTCAAACTGGAGAACAGAGTGACGACTTCAGTGGCTCCAATCCACTTTCTAGTGTTAACCAGCTTTCCCCCGAGCTGCTCAGCCCCCTGGACATCGAATCCCTGAGCCCAGGCCCACTCGATCATCCTCTGGAGTCTCGAGATCGATGGCATTGAGCTCCTCAGGGGATTGTCAGAGCCAGTATTCCCGACTGAGCTCCAAGCCCTGTAGACCAGCTCATTGTACCCAGTGTGCTGCAACAACGACGAAATCATCATCTGGATGTTCCTGTAGCCGCAACCCCAGCCTTTGTCCCCATACGTTGAGCCATAATGATCGACTGTTGAGCACATCCAAGTGTTTATCACGTTGCTGCATCCTTGACTCACCGCTCTCACCTTTGGTACCAGCCCTAGACATCAAAATATCATTATTCATTTCAGTTTAGTCTCTTCAATAAATGTATTGATGAATATATGTGGACGTCCGCACGAAAAGGGACCACTTGTCGACATGGAGTTGTGTATACTCTGATAATATTTATAACATTCCGAACATTTGGAGCCCAAAATGATCCTCATAGAGTCAAAAATGACGTCGCCGGAGCAGATGAAAAAAACACTTTAACATGAGTGTGAGTTGCTGTGACGAAAAAGTGAATATCTTGAAAACTAGAATCAACAAGGTGGTCCCTTTTCATGCGGACGTCCACATATATTTCTTTCATTTTACAATTATGTCAGGAGTGGAATATCGAAATCATGCTTGAAAAGAAATTCTAACCATCGAGCAACTATTCCTTGAATTTTTTCATAGAAATTAATCAAAAACTTCATTTAAAAACTAAGGAATTTTTTTTGAAAAAATGGAACTTCAGTCGAAAAACCGAACAAAATGAAGGAATGAGTAAAAAAAGAAGGGAATTTTGAGTCCAATAAAAGGAAGTTTAAGAAATAGGAATTGAACATTTCAAAGCTGCATTCAGTACATTCACTGACAGCAACTAATTCTTTTCTTGTAACACAATAAGTTTTCTCTGCATCATGAAATCATCAGCAAAAATGCCTGATCACTTTGCTCTCCTACAAAAGCAATCTAAAAAGAATATCCCTAGATATTAAAATATCATTATTCATTTCACTCTAAACTCACTAATACATCTATTGATGAATATATCATCTGAGGAAAAGTTCTAACCATCGAGTAATCATTCCTTAAAGTTTCTTCGTAGAAATTATTCAAAAACTATTTTAAAAAACAATTTTTAGAAAAATAGAACTTCAATAGAAAATTCTAAAAAATAGGAATTAAACATTTCAAAGCTGCACCCAGTAAATTCACTGACAGCAACTAATTCTTCTATCGTAACACAATAATTTTTCCCTGCATCATCCCAAAAATGCCTGATCCCTTGCTCTCCCCCAAACCCAATCTACAAAAAAAATCCACAACATAGATATCTTCAATGTCCTCCTGTGTCTTCCTCACCTCTAGTGCAAGAGCTGCCATCATCAATGCCATTGTGCTCAGCAGCTTTGAGTTCAATCTGCCTCTCGTAGAAATCAGCAACCGACATTTCCCCAGCATAGACAGCCCTCTGCATATTGGTAACACTCTGCTCCCTGAAATTACCCTGATTATCCATTCCATACTGCGCCCTGAGCATCTCAAACTCCCTCTGCTCCCTGAGTTTTCTGACTTCCTTCTCCCTCCTCTCCATGTCCCTCGCCAGGAGTCTGTCCGAGGACGAGTCCGGAGTGACTGGTGAGGGTGTCCCCTTCTTGGAGAAGTGCTCCTCGATGTGAATTGTCAGTTCCTCACTGGTTCTGAAGGACGTGCTCAGGCAGACTGGACATGTGGGGGTGTCAGGTCCACTGGAGGCCACGTCTGATCGTTCGCCCGAGCCCTTCGCAGGACTGAGGATGTCCTTGTGCTCGATATTCACGTGGAGCTCTAGGTCAGATGAGTTTGGGAAGGATGTGACACACAGAGGGCAGTTGAAGATGCTGTCGCGGGTCGGGGGGGACTCTGGGGGAAATGAGGGGGACGTCAGGTCGAAGTGCTGACGATTTATGTGCTCCTCCAGGCAGAGGGGACTGTCGGAACTGTAGGGGCACATCGGGCACTCCTGGACACGCGGCTTTGGGGAGGCGTAGGAACGCAATTGGAGGTTCAGACTTGTGCGCAGGGGAGAGCCGTGACCTGCTGATGATTCTGGAAGGATGAAAATTATTTTTAAAAAGAACACGGATTCAAAGGTTTAATAGGAAAACCTGTTAGTTGGTCTGGGAAATTCTGGTGGAATTCTATTGGAAAATTATATTTTTTGGCAATTCTTTCTATGAAAAAGGATGGGCACTATCTGGAATTGAAAATGGGAACTCAAGCAGGGCAGATATCTCGAACGAGTAGAAAAAGTAAGGCGGTTGCTATGAACACAATCGTCTTGCGTCGAATTTTCATGAAGCCCGCCTAACAAATAAAAGAGTTAACTAAGTGGGGGAGATTGGGATAAAACGGTCACTTTTGACTTTTTTTTAATGTTAATATTATGGCCGATTTTAAGCACTTTAATAAATAAAAGAGAATTGAATACCATTCTGTGAAACATGAATAAACGAGCCATAATTATCCAAATCATTTAGGTCAGAGGATAATAGAATAATTCTACTTTCTTAATATTGCGTTTACTAAGGTTTTCTTCGAACAAAGTTGAGTAGAATTAATTGCTAGAATTATGAGATTCTCTCACATTTTTGACGTTAAGGATAGGAGAATCTGAATGCAATATCGTGAAAACGATGATCGATTTTTTCACTTTGAACAAATAATATTAATATCCAAATACAATATTTCTGATATGAATAAAAAGAAGATGTGACTCAATATTCCAAATGAAGTTTTAATTTTTAATTTGGTACTGAAAACATGAGATGACAATATTCTAAGCACGGAATTATATTGACGAGATGAACAACAGATTAATTGAATTACCGCGTGAACTAATTAAAAATTGATAACAGTGTGGGCACACACTTTTACCAGAATATCAACAAACATTGAATTCCAGAAGTTCACACTCTAAAGTGTGTTCTGGATGGAATTGAATTGTAATTACGATTATAATCTGATTCAGTGAGCATAGGAATTAGAATATTAGCAAATTGTTTATTGTAATATTAAAGTTTAACAGCTTATAAATTGGGACATGTGAGAATGACTGTAAACAATTAATTGAATGGGGAATACCGAATCTGACGGGAAAAATGGCACACGCTAGTTATTACAATTATAATGTTCCCCTAGGCCTGTTCAAATAAAGGATTTTGTTCATTCTGTTCATATTCAGAATTTTGTTCATTCCAAGTGATTTTTCCATGCATTTGTAATTATTGTTCACGACGAATTATTGATATTAATTGAAAATATAATATTTTCGTAGTTTAGTAATTTTACCGCGCTGTTAGAAAATTACTCCTGAAAATTCAAGTAAAAAATCGTGAAAATTTTCAACAATCACTCATTCACATAAAAAATCAGTTGAATTCTGGAGTATTCAATGGAATCGCAATTTTCACCTCCACATGATAATGAAAATTATTAAATAATTTGAAAATTCAAGCAGTAATTTCTCATGAATTTCCAACCTGAATGAGATATTCCAAGAACGACTTAATCTTAAATTCAATTCAAATTCCCAATATTGAGAATTCAAGTGCACCTATTGCTGAATTTTCAAAAAAAATCGATGCACTGAATTGTGAAACTAATTCATTCTTCTAAAAAACTGAAATGAAATTGAAAGAAAATTAAATAAATAGGGGAGAGTCGGGCAAAATGGGACGTTTCATGATCTTTTCTAATTGTTCATATCTTCACTTATGAATGAAGATATCGACAATTAGAGAAGATATCAATACGTCCCATTTTGCCCGACCCTCCCCTAAGTGGGGGAGATTGGGATAAAACGGTCACTTTTGACTTTTTTTTAAATGTTAATGAGGGGCTGAAATGTTGATGAAATTTAATAATGTTCCTTTCAATGCAAATAACAATTTTTTCTCTTTGTGACGAGCCTAACTTGAACTCAATTGATAAATTCAGTAGTGAAGTGGTAAACGGAGATAAGTCGACTTATCTCCCAGTTGAGTTTTTGAGGAATATTTCCAAATCTAAGGGAGATAGCGAAATTTTCGTGATTACATTTGTTGTAGCACTCAATCGGCTCCACAAAAAAGGTCATAACAAACATTTTGCTATCTACCTTAGATTCCGAGATAATGATTGAAAACTGGTCAATAGTCAAAACTGACTTATCTCCTTTTACCACTTCGGTACTGAATTTGTTTCTGAGTTATGAACAATTTAAAAAAAGTCTAGTGTCCATTTTACTCCACCCTCCCCTAAATATAAATAAATAATGAAAAAATAATAAAATTGAATGAAAAGTCAATAACAATGAAATTTAAAAAATTGATAAAATTGTCTTACCACTGTTGACATTCGCTCCACCCGCCACACTCGCCGCATTATTAATATTATTGTTGTTGTTATTAGCTATGGGACTGGGTAGTGGGCTGGGTGCCTTGGAGTCCCTGGAGGAATCGCCACCTCTGGCAGGCTCGCTCCAGCCATTGAGGAGGTGTGATTGATGCGACTGTATCGAACTGTTTAATAATTCAGAGGATAAATCCTGGGTCATGTCGTCCTCCTTCACCGAGTCCTCCATCGTCGAGTCGTCGTCGATGAACGCCATCATATCGTTCTCCGGAGTGCTGAATGAAAACAGAATCGATTGAATTATAAAAGATTTTACTGGCATTTTCTTCTCTTTTTTTACCATTTTCTCCGCTTTTTGGGGACAAACTCGGGACCGATGGTCATGGCGAGGGGTTTTGGGGAATCCTGAGGGTTTCAACGGCTTTTTGGGGGTCGGGGGTCGCGGTGCTGTTAACGGGGCGACGAACGAATGGAGAATGAATATGAACGCCATCTGTTTCGTGGAGTGTGGTGGGGGAAGAGGAGTGGGGGAGCAGGGAATTTTATTTGGAGCGAGAGAGAATAGATGTCGAGTTTTTGGGGTGATGTTGAGATGATGGAATATTTTGGGGGTTTAAATATTTTTTTTTAGAAATGATTTTGTTATTTTCGTAAGTTTTTTTATTTTTTTTTCTTCAATTTTTAGAACGGCGAGGGAGACGGGGATGAGAAAGCCGAAAAATCTCGAGAACGAGTGGTTTTATGAGAAAATAGCTAAGAACCTTTTTTGTAGCTCGTGCAACTTTGCACAAAAAAATTATTTTGATGGTTTACTCTAAATCCCTTCGTTTCAGAGATATTTTTGAAAAAATCGTCTTTTTTTTCTTTAATTCTTAGGAGGGAGGAGGGCGACGGAGATGAGAAAGCCGAAAAATCTGGAGAACGAGTGGTTTTATGAGAAAATAGCTAAAAACCTTTTTTGTAGCTCGTGAAATTTCGCACAAAAAATTCATTTTGATATTTTACACTAAACCCCTTCGTTTCGGAGATAAATTTGAGAGAATCATCGAATCATTTGTGCGCGGGAAGCAGGGGAATTTTATTTGGAGCGGGAGAGGGTGGATGTCGAGTTTTTGGAGTGATGTTGAGATTATAGAATATTTTAGCGATTTAGATATTTTTTTTAGAAATTTTTCATTCATTTTTGCAGTTTAAAAAAAATTTTCTTCAATTTTTAGGAGGGAGAGGGAGATGGGGATGTGAAAGTTGAAAATCTCGAAAACGACTGATTCTATGGAAAAGTTAAAAAAATAGTTAAAAAATATATATAAATTTTTTTTTATATCTCACTATAAACCCCTTCGTTTCGAAGATATCCTCGGAAAAACCGTCAAATCCGTTTGTTCAACGACTTAATCGTGACAAATGCTGATAAAACGAGCGAGCGTGATCCATTAATCAACATCAACCATTTACCATGAAAAATAATTACAAATTCATGAAAAAAAATCACTAGAAATAAATTCTGGGAAATTGAATCGATGGAAATGAGGAATCTCTCGATATTACTGAACATTTGGCGCTTCAGATACTTACAGAGCAATCAATACTTGACTCAACACCTTCACATAATCTTTTTAAATTCATCTATTGATTATTAAAAATAATAGGAAAAAAATTGTATTTTAAACTCAATTATTTATCAATGATTTATTTATCATAAATTATTCTAGAAGTATGAAAGTATAGTTGTACTTTATGAATTCATTTTCTCATTCTTCTCGTTAATTTTAATTATCTTTTTCCTCGTGCTCTGTGAACGATTAATGAGGCAAATAGGTGCTCGTCTATTTCGTGATAATTAACAATTTTTTTTAAATTTGTAGTTCAACGCTCAACTGGGCTAAGCAATTATTGACTAGTTGGATTTTTTAAATGATAAAAATTAGTGGGAAAGAAGTTGAATAGGTACTTTCGGGTTACTGGAATTTTAAAGGGTACGAGAGAACGGAGAAAATGAAAAATAAATTGATTTCAATCAGAAAAAAGTAGAAGAGAAAACGATTAATCAGCCCCAACCTCGGCGTGAGATAATCCAAATGGGCACTATTAACATGCAGCAACATCTCAGCCGGTGAAATTTCTCCCAAATCGCAGAAGGGACAGCTAGCAGCCCCCTGCAGATGATAAATAACCATGTGCGATCTCATCTCCTCGTCATTGAATCCCTCCAATCCACATATCTCGCACGTGTAGTTCATTTCCGGTGCTTTTGACGCCGCCATCTTAAGCACTTGCTCCACTTCCGGCTATCACCTGTCGTCAAGAACCAAAAAAATCCATCAGTCCCCAACGCAATTTCCAAAAATCTCAAAATCCCAGGGAAAAACTCCCCTAAATTCGAATCTCTGAAAGTTCACCTTAAAACGAAAAACAAAATTCTCTTCCCTCAATTCAAAAAAATTTTTCGAGCTTAAAAAAAACTTACGATCAATAATTTTATTTTTTCATTTTTGTTTCACTTTCGGGGAAGAATCGATCGTCTCCCGCAGCCCCATACGACCGATCGAAACGATAAAAAAAATGTGTGAAGGGGAGAAATTTCAAAAATCACAAATAATTTCTGAATAAAATATCAATAAAATAAATTGAATTACCAAAATAACAACTGGATCGATGTCACTCTCGAAATACTACATCACCACCGTGAAAGTGACCCATATTTGCCACTAATTTGTCCCCCCATCCACCCCCGAGTGAGTGCATCAGCACTCGCGACCAACTTTCAACGAGAGAATAAACCACAGAATTTTATTTATCTAACAGTGTGCAGATTTTTCAAACGGCTGTTATCGTCAAATGTACCACTTAATGCACTGTTACAACCGATTTTTCATGGATACAATTTGTTGGTGATTAGAGGCGCCCGTGTTGGCTCAAAAGAACCCAACACGGCGCCTTTCTCGACCCCATATGACAGATTATATCACCCCCCTTGGCGTATGTACTTCCGCGGGATATATATTTACTTTACATTGCATCAGGAAGGGCAAGTGGCGGCGCTCATTTCAACCCCTGAATAGGGGGTGAAAAATGGTCGAGGTTCCTGCTTTGCCGACTGGAGGGAAGTAATCAGAACGTGATAACTTGATTTCCGTTTTTATTCGTTCATTTATTTATTCACTCTACAGAAATCGGATGAAGTGGATTGCGGGTCATCTGGAGAGGATAAATAATTTTAAGAAATGTTTGAAAGTACGAGGTGGAGCACCGCCATATTTAAAGTTCCTTTCGTCACAGAGAGGGGTCCCCGAGCAAGATGGCAGCGCTCCCTTCTGTCACCTCGCATTTTCGAACATTTCTGAAACTTATTTAGCCTCTTCAAATCACCTCCAACATGCTCCATCCAGTTTCTAGAAAGTGAACTAATCTTTAAAGTTATCTTTCATATTTTTTCATCCCCGTTCACCTGAGAATTAATCACGCAAAGTTCTACCCGCGTTTCAGTAATTTTTTTTACAACTCTGATTTATTTTCTTTGTGAGAATAAAGTGATGCTTCATGTAAATGTTTGAAAATATAAGGTGGACCGCCACCATATTTAAAGTTCCTTTCGTCAGAGAGAGAAGGTCCCCAAGCAAGATGGCAGCACTCACACCTGTCACCTCGCATTTTTGAACTTTCTAAAAATCATTTAGCCTCTTCAAATCACCTCCAACATGCTCCATCTAATTTCTAGGAAGTGAACAAATCTTTCAAGTAATCTTTCAGATTTTTTCATCCCCGTTCATCTAAGAATTAATGACGCAAAGTTCTACCCGCGTTTCAGTAATTTTTTTTTACAACTCTGATTTATTTTCTTTGTGAGAATAAAGTGATGCTTCATGTAAATGTTTGAAAATATAAGGTGGACCGCCACCATATTTAAAGTTCCTTTCGTCAGAGAGAGGAGGTACCCCAGCAAGATGGCGGCGCTCACACCTATCACCTCGCATTTTTGAACATTTCTGAAAATTATGTAGCCTCTTCAAATCACCTCCAACATTTTCCATCCAGTTTATAAAAAGTGAACAAATTTTTCAAGCTATCCTTCAGATTTTTTCATCCCCACTTGGTCGAGAATTACTGACGCAGTTCTCCCTGCATTTCAATAATTTTTTATCACAAGTTCGATTTATTTTTTTCGTCAGCACAGGTGATGACATCTTCATCTAAGCCATCCATTTTACGACCTATACCGTCGTCAATTCCTGAGGGATTGACCATCAATATTGCTCAGTAAGCAATATTGCCGTAATAATCCTGTCACTCATATCGGAGGACTGAAATGTTTAGTACCTCATCGTGAATATGACTTATCAGTGTCTCATCGTCGGCCTATATATTGGCTCCTGTTCTTCCCAAAACCTCATTCGTCGAGTATTCGAGAACTAGATAGTTCCTGAAACCCAAGTGTGATATTTCAATGATGAAGCTCGTGAAGATGATATTTTTGGCGATTGCTGTCATTGGGTGCGTGTCGCACGCACATGCCAAGCCCCGCGTCGAAGGGATGCAACTCAAGTAAAAATCTAATGAATATATATCAGGTATTACATTTGTATATTTTATGATGTTTGTATTTGTGTCGGCAAATTTAACCCGTTGAGGCATCATCGTCCGTCCCCACTCTAGAGCTACATGCGGTGCGGCGGGAGTGGGAATAGCTGTTATGGTTAGGGGGAGAAAAGTGGGAATATTTATTTATTGCCATATATACCCTATTCGAGTTTTTACACGTTTTGCGGTTCATGGGCCGACTTCCTCTCCAACCATGTCGCATTGTACCCCAGGAGCTTTACCCCACGTACAGACTCTCCTAGTGACCAAGGGAAACCATGGAAAACCTTGGTCGACACGGACGTCCATCGTCCGAGCTTCATCGGAGAATGTTTTCCTAACACTTCTCCGATGACTCTCGATATCTAGACTTCCGTTCGACGGTTTCCGAAAGATTAAAAATCGCAAATGCCCCAAGCCGGACTCGAACCCGCGCCTCACAGGTCTCGCCGTCCGGCCGAGCGATTCAACTTTTTTTTTTAACCATGTTTTTATTCAATTTTTACAACAGGGTATTTACAATATTTACAGCTATTTACATAAAAAAAATAGGTATATAAAAAAATTAACGTCTTATATTGGTTTTAGTAAACTATGGTCGCTTAGTAACTCTCGAGTTTTGACTGGCTATTGTTTGTATTTCAAAGATTTTATATTGATTTCATATTATCTGCTCCATTCAGTAGCATTGTATACTTTGTTTAATGCGCTCAAAAAAAAAGGAAGTAAAAAGGAAAGAAAAAAAAAATAGGATTTTGTGTTTGTATTTATAGTAATAAAAAAAAGCGGCCGAGCGATTTAACCGCTTCGGCCACCGTCGCCGGTGCAAGAAAAGTGGGAATAATTTATTACATATTTTTTTTATTACATGCACATTTGGAAAAACAATCTATTTGAATCAAATGACCACCTTTATTTGAACGCGCACTTCCTGAAGATAATGTTTGAAATAAACATTTCCAAAAAAGAGATGAATAATGAATAATGAATTTTTTTTTTCAAGTACATAAAATTTTGGTTTTTCCGCTTCAAATGAAGAATTTATTTGAATGTAATGAGGAATTTATATGAAACAGATTTATTATTTATGGAAAATAATTCATTCTTTTTACTTGAAATGATTGAACAGTTTTATTCAATTTGAATGATTTTTTTTTGAAAATAAATAACTTTTTCCCCTCCATGCTCACACCGATACGTTTCGTGATCTTGGTGCCTCAATGGGTTAAGTAACTTTTAGTGTCCCAAATTAAGATATTAAGACATGTTTTCTGAACATTGTAGGTGTCTTCCTCGAGGATTTTCTGTTTCACCTGGTTAAATGTCATTTGTCTCGTTAAATACTTCATTTATTCTCCACAATGGTCGACTATTTTTGCAGAGATAATTTTGGTGACGTTAAAAATAGAGTTCCCGAATTTCTGAATTTGGCGGGAGGTAGAGGGATGAGGGTAAAAGTATTAAAATAATATTTAAAGTTGTTACGTCTTTCCAACCCTCATCTTCCTTCCGGCTCCACCACTGGCCTCTCCCCGTCCGCTGCCCGGAAATGTAATAAATTGAAAGAAAATAAATAAGTCACTGAAACGTTTTGTGATTTTATTTCTTAAGGTATATCCCTAGAAAATAGGGGCTATGAGTCCTCCTGAACTCGATTTTTCCATCTGATGAGAAAACGGTTCTCACGAGGTTCTTAAAAAACGAATCCGTGGTACACTGTTAGAAAATTACTCTTGAAATTTCAAGTGAGAAAGCTTGGAATTTTTAACAACGACAAAGTTATATTTTTCCAGAAAACTCCAACTTCTCTTCCATAAGGGTCATTAAAACGATTTTATTTATTAATCACTCGAATTTATAAAAAACAGAAGATCCCAAAAGATTTCCATTTCTCCCAACGTTTCGGACGTACAAGGTATCCTTCATCCGGGCAATAATTTATTCTCATTAATCCATAAGTTGTTCGTGGATTCTGACAGAATATTTATCCCAAGAAAGAGAAAAGAAAATAAAACCGACAGGCGATACCAGCCTATCAGTGCCCTCCATAACCTAAACCATGCTGTTCAAAATGAGCAAAGTTACATGAAATTTCTGTATATTTCTTCATTGACGAGTCAATTAAGTTCTTGATTATTTAAGCAATACTCGATTTACAAGTCTACATGGAAAAAAAAGAAACGCTGGAAATACTGAGATCACAGGTATTTCGCCTGAGATTCGTACGAAGAGGGTGCTTCGGCACACGGAAAGAAATATTCAAGAAAAATTATGGAACATTTCACGTAATCCGCAAGCGAGAATCGTTTTCAGTGAATTTCTATAGGAATATAAAAGAATAAATCTGAAACGTTCAGTAAATTTTCGGGTCTATCACCGAAAAAATACGAAAAAGTCACGTAATTTTTCTGGAAGTTGTAAAATCTAACAGAAACTTCAAGACTTATTATGCCTCAGAACATGAAAATTCTTGGATGTTTAAGAATTTTTACGAAAAGTTCCGGAAAAATTACGGAACGTGTTGTTAAAATCTCCCCCTCACGGTGACTCGTGGCTAGCCGTGAGGCGTCGGATGGATGAGTAATTTTTACGGAACAGATCGTAGAATTTACGTGACGATTGACACTTTTTATTGAATTTTACTTCGCTCCCAGATTACGTTTCGAAACGTAATTTTTACGTCTTTTTTCTGGTAATTTTTATTGAATATTTCTCTCCGTGTAGTAAAATGCCGGCGTTTCACCAATTTTCCACGTGTATAAAAACACAACGGTTTTGTGAATTGTATCATATGATGATCAGTAAATGATTCACATTAAATAGGGAAAAGACGGGATTCTCAATACAGTCAATAATATAATTGTTCAATCGTAGGCGAATCACTCCAACATCAGCAGACATTAGTGATGTAGGGCATAGGTATACCATGAAATATAGATATATATCTATAAATACGAAATAGAAATTTTTTCTTTTCTATTCTAGTCTCCATTAATGTGTTGCCTTCGTTAGTGTCTTCGTCCGCGCAGAATAATGCCTTGCGTAAATGTGGTAGTTTTTCCGAAATTTTCAAGCTTTTCACCGAATATTCGACTTTCCATTAAACTTCCTAATAATTAATGGTAGCCCGGTGGCCTGGCGTAGTGGTTAAGGCCGTTGCCTCACAACGGATAGGTTCCAGGTTCGATTCCTGGCCGGGTAGAATGGTGAGATCTAACCATTTTTAAAGTCTTGATCAATCGCCATATAGTCTCATCAGACTCGAAGCGATATAAAATNGTCTTGTGCTGCGCAAGGAAAACGACGAGATATATCGTCGCCGTCAGGAAAGAATGATTTTGGATCTGAGTGGTAGGGGACGTTCAGTCGGAGCTAATTTCGAGAGAGTGCGGGTACCCAACCACGACCATTCTTTTTTGGCGCGGACACCTGGCGAAGCGCTCCCTCATACGAATCTCCGGCTAAATACTTGCGACCTCAGGCTTTCCGCAGTTTTCTTTTTTTCCGTGTATACGGCACTGAAAAACCTTCAAAATTATGAAAATTCAGGCAATAACTTTTCTGAATTCACAATCTATTGAAAATTGAATTCCATATGATGCTCAATTTTCATGATGAGCTTGAAAATTCAAGCTTTCATTGAATAATCAATCATGTTTAACATGGAAAACCCAATTTTATTGAATTTTCAAGATGAATGAGAAATTTAGTGAACGCTTTCATTTAAAATTGAATTCAACCTCACAACATCAAAAATTCAGATGACGCGGTGACAGAAATTTCAAGAAATTTCTAACAGTGTAGATTGATAAATTCTGAATACAATCGTACGAAAAAATTCGGATGATACGGATGAACATAAATTGTCTAGAATTCTTCAATCACGTGTAAGCACACTCAGCGCTCTCATCAGTTATTCCTGCCGCGATTTTCCAAGGCATTCCCGCGCATCTCACCAGCTCGGAGGGGAACATATCGCCCGTGTGAGAGGATAAAACGAGGAAAAAAGTTTATAAAAAAAGGGAGTGGCGCGAATTACAATTGTCGCTTGACTATTAATCAACTGAAGTTTTCTCGAAGGCACGGCCCAGACGATTTAAACGGTATTTGCATGGCGCCGGGATGTGAAATGAGAAGAGAAAATCTATCTTGAAATTTCCCGGAAATGAACGCATTGAATGTATTTTCAAAACATAAAAATTAGAAAACCCAATGATTTCCTATCATCTAGAATATATGAAAAATTTAGAGAAAAATCAGTCTATAATTAATTTTTAAATTATTTGTTATTGAAAAAAAAGACACTATCAAATTCTAGAGAATTCTCGTAAATATATGGAATTCATTAATAATTAATTCATAGTGAAATGGCAATTTATGACGAAAAATATTTAAAAAGTTGAAGTTGCAGCGCTGAGTTTGCAATATCGTTGCGAAATGTCAGTAATTAATTAAACTCGATAGATTCAGAAATTATTGTAATAAAGAAAAGAAAAAAAGTCATTGCAGTGTGAAAAAAAAATTTATCATCTAGAAATTATGAAAAAATTAGGAAAAAAATCGCAGTCTGTAATCAATTTTTAAATGATTTGTTATGGAACAAAAAAACACTATCAAGATCTCATCGTGGGTGGCCGACAAATTCGAGAGAATTCTCGTAAATATATGGAATTCATTAATAATTAATTCATAGTGAAATAGCAATTTATGCCGAAAAATATTTAAAAAATTGCAGTTGAAGCGCTAAAATTGCAATATCGTTGCGAAAGGTCAGCAATTAATTAAGTTCGATAGATTCTGAAATGATTGTAATGAAGAAAAGAAAAAAACCATTGCAGTTTAACAATTAAAAAAAATTCTAACATTTAGAAATTATGAAAAAATTCGGAGAAAATCGCAATCTATAATGAATTTTTTAATTATTTGTTATTAAAAAAAAACACTATCATGTGGGCGACAAATTCGAGAGAATTCATTAATAATTCATTAATAATTAATTCATAGTGAAATAGCAATTTATGACGGAAAATATTTCAAAAATTGAAGTCGAAGCTCTGAGACTGCAATATCGTTGTGAAAGGTCAGCAATTGATTAAGTTCGATAGATTCTAAAATAATTGTAATGAAGAAAAGAAAATTCATTCCAGTTTAACAATTGAAAAAAAAATTACATCATTTAAAAATTATGAAAAAATTTGGCAAAAAATCGCAGTCTATAATTAATTTTGAAATTATTCATTGAAAAAAAAACACTATCATGATCTCATCGTGGGTGGCCGATAAATTCGAGAGAATTTTCGCAAACATACGAAATTCATTAGTAATTAGCTCATGACAAAGTAGCAATTTATGATGAAGAATATGTAAAAAATTGCAATTTCGTTGTAAAATGCCAGCAATTAATAAAATTTGATAAATACTGAAATTATTATAATAAAAAAAATGAGTAATTGTATTTTTGGTTGTGAGGTCCCATTAATATGCAGCCGACGATCGCCTGAGGATGCGCCTATTCACGGAAATGGTCGTATAAACCTTTCCATCACTTCTCCACTCCAGGCAAGATTATAAACGAGGGAAGGGCATTTATTCCTTGTAATATACGTGAACATCTTACTCATTTGATTTTTCCAAAAAGCCTCGCAAGGAAAAAATAGCCATCACAAAATTCAGCGAAAAAAAATACAGAATTTAAATAAAAATTTCAATATATCAAATCAATTTAATTTTCTCTTCCATAAATCATATTCATATTCTTGGTATATTTATTTGCATCGAAACAGGTGTTACTGGTTCATGATAAATGATCGTTCCAGAACAGTGTGTCGTGTTCATTTGAATGTTTACGATGATAAATTCTTCGAGCCTGGAGAAACTCACGATTATTATCTCACTATTTAAATTAAAGTAAACAATCGTTTAGAATAATTTTCACGGTAATTCCATGTTTCATAAGAAGATGATTTATTTCTATATTTTCATTTTAATTGTTATTCAGTTCTCAAAGGTAAAAATCAATAATATTTTTAGAATTTCAAATTATTTGGAAATTTTTTAATTTTTTATTTTTTATTTAATGTTTATAATATTCCCCAGGTATTAAAAAAAATCGAACTAGTTGTATGATACAGTTTAGGACATAATAAATAATGAAATGCAAATAAAAAAAAAATATATAAATTTCGTGAAATCATTTCTTATTTGATTCAAACAGTTATTGTTACCTTCGTCAATAACATATCTCTCCATATTACAAAAATCCAAATCGACTTCTGGTGATAAAAATTTGGTACTCGCAATTAAGACTCAAAAATTAAGGGTCACAAGGGTTAAAATAAAGATATAAAGGTCACAGAAGAAGGGTCACGAGTGAGAAAATAAGGATCATGAGGGTCAATATAAGGTCAGAATAAGGGTCATGGCGATCATAAGGGTCAGAATGAGGGTCATGGCGATCGTAAGGGTCAGAATAAGGGTCATGGAGATAATAAAGGTCACAATAAGGGTCTCAAGGTTGAGGTTAAGGGTCATCAAAGTGAGAATGGAGGTCACGTGGGTCAGATTAAGGATCCAGATAAGGGTCACAAGGGCCAAAATAAAGGTCTCCATATCTCTCTGTATTATAAAAATCCAAGACTATTGGTGATAAAAATTTGATACTCGGATTAAGACTCCCAAATTAAGGGTCGAAAGGCTCATAAGGAGATCGTATGCGGGTCACATGGATAGAAAAACTCAATAACTCATGAAAATGCCATAAATTAAGACATTTAGAATTTTTTCCGGAAATTCATGGAGACTAGCTTTTGGCTGGTATTGTCTCGGGATACACCTTAATAGAAAAAAATGTCGCAGGACAATACTCGTGGGAAGTTGACATACCAAATCATGTTAAAATGAATAACAATGAGAATCAGTGGGGGCTACATTGCCGGTTATGTGTGGGTATGTGTCACAATGGCAGTTGCAATCAAGTGACACGAAGCACGCGTCTCTACCCGCCTACAGTATCCACCCGAGTTCCTTCTACTCCCTCGCCCCCACCCCAGCCATCAGTTAAAGCTTCAATCGTATGCGACGCGTGTAAAGCTCACAATCAGTCGTTCGCCGCGCGCCAACAGCGCAACTACTCATCTCTCTTCTCATTTTTTATTTCAATTTTATTTTATTTATTTTTTTGAAAATCGAAGATCAATCAATATTGACTTCTCCTATTAATTATCTGCATCAGAGCTTTATCAGTTGAGTGATGGAATATTTTGTGCATTTTTTCTCGCTTCGTAAATCCATTGATTAATTTTAATCAGTTGATTAATTTTAACTGAATAAAACTATTGGAAACCATCGATTTTTCTGTATTTAAGTGATTGAAAAATGTGGACTTTGGGATTTATTTTTGTGCATTTGTGGATTTTTGGAGATACGAGAAATTCATTGATCGGGATAACACAAGGTAAAATAATAAAAAATTTATTGCATTCAAATTTTAAAAATTATAATTTTTTTTCGTAATCAAATTTTCCACTTCCAAAAGCTTTATTAATAATACAATTTCTCTCATTTAATTTGTTCTGGAATTAAATTATTATTATTATGATTTTTTATTGCATAATTTATAGTTGAAATTTTTGTTAATTCAAGTTTCTGGGTCTTTTTTACCGAGCGAAAGGAATGAAGTGATGAGATGTGAAATAGACTGGTCGAGTCTTCCGATGAATAATTTGATGATGTAAAGACAGATTCATTGAACCCAGTATAATTCTCGTACTCATTCGCATAAACTCATAATGAGAAAAAAGATATCGACGACAGCTTTCCGCCACATGTTCTCCCACCATCTCTCTCTCACACTCGATACTAACGTACGCCCTATCACACATGCGTGGGACACATCCCTCTCATTCTCCGCTTCATTTTTTCCCCCTCCCGTTGCGAAACAAGTCGTTCAAACTGTCTTTCAAAACAATCGGTTCTATCAAACGCTTTACTTGAAAAAATCAACAAACTTCATTCCTTAATTGTTTTGATAAGACGCAGTCGAAAGGGTTCATTCATTTCACATCTTTCTGATTTTTACAACGATTAAAATGGTTTTCCCTCATGTCTCGACGACTCACAATTCTCGAGACGTCATCGTTTGTTTGAGTGAGTGGCTCGAGACCTTTAATTTCTGAGTGAGCGCGTGCGCAGTGGGATGCTCCTGTCCACAAACGTCCACGTGTTAAGAACTACGATTCGTAGAGACACGAGTTGAAAGCCATTTTATTTGCCATGAAATTCCCTAGATTTGTCACACTGGATGTCATGATGACTTCTCAATAGTTTTTGAGATATTTCAATTGACACTGGGGCATTGTTGCGACCCAGTTAGTGTATCCGTTGTACATGTGCGCATGACTGTGCGCATCGTTTTCCCTCCATGCGCAGTCGTCGACTGCGCAACTTCCGTTGCGTTTTTCGTTCCATAAGATTTTTCAAGGACCACTCTACCACAAAGTCCAATAATCGTGGATTACATGCCTAGACCTAAAAAGTCATTTTTCCGGGCATGAAAAAGAAATATTTAAAAAAATGACAATTCTCACAATTCCCTATTCATAATAAATGTCAACTGTTCACGGCGTTCCGTAGCTACAGCGTCCGAACAGAAGAAATCTCATGCGTTGAGAAAAAAGATACAGAATGAGTAGTTCTCGGGGTAACGGAAGGGGGGAGGGGTAAAACGGGACACGTTATCGTCTTCCCGTGGTTACCACTGTATTTATATACATATGCGCACGGTGACTCCTGCTGCTGCCTTTATTCGCGTCTTTATTTCCATTTTTATTCGGCTTTATTTACTTCTGTTGTATTTTACTCTTATTTTCATTCTCCTCTCACTCTCTCGGCATCTCCGTTGGGATTCATTCTCTCGGTTCTTTCGCGTGGCTAAATGGAGAACCCGTAGGACCCCCGGTGACACCTCTGCCACGCACGTGCGAGGCATAAATTTCCACCGGGATAACAAAAACAACGAAAACAAATTTTGCGAATATTTTCGCTTTACTGTTCATTTTTTCTTGTTTTGTTCTCTTGAGGGATTTATTGGGGGGCGAGTGTTATCGCATTCAATTCAATTTTTGAATAAAAAAAAATTATTCAGATTTTTTATTTTATGTATGAAATAAAATCTATCGTAATTCTTCGAATTTTCTCGTATTTTTTTTCTATTTGCTTTCAAAAGTTTAAATAAAAAAAGCCAAATGAAGTGCAGGTTTCATTTTTAAAAAATTAAAAATCGATGAATAGTTAATGGGATAGCTGATGAAAGTAGACCAATAAAGAAAGTATTCTCGATTAATTCCGCCTGCAAAACCACCGATTTATCGATATCGTAATAGCCTCTGGTGTTGGAAAATAGATAAATGTTCGATTTTAACATTTCATGCCGCATGATCTCAGTGATTAGGGCCGAATGAAGTGGATATAATCACCCGGGAGGTGATAGGATGGCAAAATCTTATGTATCACGATCAATTATACGAGAATTAGCGGGGATTAAAATGTGTGCGCAGGGCAATGGAGAATTATAAATAGGAGTGTGAGCGTTCCTAGTAAATAGCCGCGTAAATTCCTACAAAGAAAATTCAAACTTTCATTCATCTATGAATTTTTGGGGAAAAAAATTGTGAATTGTAATTGAATATTTTTTATTTTTGTTGTGAAAAGAGAATTTCTATGTAATAAATCGGCGCGAGAAACAATATGTCGCGACCAAGACGCAGCTGTTGATTAATTTCATCCCAGCGCAGTGACATTCTCGCCAATTTCAATCGTTTATGTGACTTCTGAGAATCGTTAAAGATATCTGAGTCGATTGGAAGTCATTTTTATGACGATTTTTTTCCGTGAATTTGTTCATAATGCGATCCCTCAATTTCTGAAACCACTCCGTGACGACTTTTTGACTTAAAAAAACTCAGACATTTTCCAAAATTGGAGTTTTACGGCCCAGGCTGTAAAATATCAGTTTAAAGCTATGTGTAAAATCATGTTTTAGAATTTAAGTCAGAAAAAAATACCATTTTTCAAACTAATTTTTCATCAGACTGTCAGTAAAATGGCATTTTGCAGTAAATTTGCATCAAATCACACGATTTCTCAATTTCCAAGAAAATTATAATAATTTTTTGTTATGAAGCGCAGGGAGATTTCAGCTGGAAAACACTTCTCAATTAATTTTTTTACTCCAAAATCCCAGAGATTAGTTAAAATTGCAATTTTGTCGATCTAGGCTGTAAAATATGAGTTTAAATCCCAACAACCGTCCGTAAACTCATGTTTTACGCAAGAACATGGAACAATAGTTATTCTTTAATACTTTTTCCAGGAGTACCATTCTTCAGCCTAATTTTTAGGCCCCCATTCTTTACAGCCTAGGCCGAAAAAGTTACTTTTCATCACACTGTTCGTAAAATGGAATTTTTCTACAATTATGATAATTATGATCATTTCTTGTTTTGATGCGCAGGAAAATTTCAGCTAGGAAACACACCTCGACTGTTTCGGCTTCAAAAACCCCAGAGATTCGCTAAAATTGAAGTTTTGTCGATCTAGGCTGTAAAATATGAGTTTAAAGCCCGACAACCGTCCGTAAAATCACGTTTTACGTAAAGGCATGGAAGAGTGGCTACTTTTTAATAACTTTTCCAGGAGTACCATTTTTCAGACTACTTTTTAGGCCCCCATACTTTACAGCCTAGGCTGAAAAAGTTACTTTTCATCACACTGTTCGTAAAATGGCATTTTTCCACAATTATGATAATTATGATCATTTTTTGTTTTGATGCGCAGGAAAATTTCAGCTAGGAAACACACCTCGACTTTTTCGGCTTCAAAAACCCCAGAGATTCGCTAAAATTGAAGTTTTGCCGATCTAGGCTGTAAAATATGAGTTTAAAGCCCGACAACCGTCCGTAAAATCACGTTTTACGTAAAGGCATGGAACAATAGCTCTTTTTTAATAACTTTTCCAGGAGCACCATTCTTCAGACTAATTTTTAGGCCCCCATCCCTTACGGCCTGGGCCACAAAATTTACTTTTCATCACACTGTTGATGATTTTTTGTTATGATACCCAGAGAAATTTCAACTGGATAACTCTTCTTGGCTGTTTGTCATTCAATGAACGACAGACAGTTGATAGAATTCAGTGAACGATGCCGTCATCGAATTTGCAATTGAGTGGAATTAGCGTAGCTAAACACAAGCGTCTCTATGTGCACGCGTGCGGCTCACAAACCACTAGTACATAATCTCCATTTTTTATCCGTGTGACTCAATTCGACCGATTTCAATGCACTTTAGGTCGAGAAGAAAAAAAATAGTTGAAAAAAAATTCATGACTTTTTTACTCGTTTCTACATCCACTACCCATTAATATTCATCTCTCTGTGGAGACAGGATTACTCTCGTGTCCTAATGGGACTAATTACCCTGGAAAATGGAGAGACCCCTCAATTGCTCTCGATAATTCACGAGATTTACAGATTGCGTTTTGAAAGAGGGACGACACCCTAAGTGTATTCCCCCGGTGTTGGGAATGTTATGAGCTATTTTAGTTTAAACCACAACGTGAAGCCACATAAAGGCACCGACAGTCGGAGTTTTCGGATACAACTACTTCAGTTGAACTTAATCCGCTGAAAATCATTTTTCTGCCATTTTTTAAATCATTTTTGGACTTTCAAAAATTGAAAAAAAAATTAATATTAGCTCTTTTCATTCGATAATCAGGGAAATTTCAGCTGAATATCTAACGAAAGACGACTTTTTAAATTTTTGTGCTCCTGGATGGAAGCTTTGTAATCGTTCAAATTTAAGATTTGGATTTTTTGTGTTATATCGACTCCATGATCGAAAAAGTCCGAAAATGCAATTTTTAAACCTCGTAAATGCGTGCAATTGTTCGCTAATGAATGGATGGAATTCAATCTTTTTTTCAAACGTAGGTATTGTTGAACCCTATTGATCGCCATTAATTAAAATTTAATCCATTGATTATTTTTTTTTATTTTCGAATTTATTCGAAAATCGGTTGTCCCACGATAACTAAAAAATGTTCTGAATTGATTGAATGATGGCTTCAAAAATTTGATTTAATGTCCTTTTGACCGAGTTCGAAGATGAAGGCGATGGCAATAATCGTTATTTTGACTTATTTGAAAATTTGAAATAATTTTATATTTTTTGAAAATCAGTATTCCGGGGATATCTTTGAATATCATGCTTCAAATGAATTCAATCATCGCTTAAAATGTATGTTTTAATGCCATTAAGTCGAAGTTAAAAGATGATTACGATAGTTATATTGGTTGATCTGATTTTTATGATGATTGTTGAAAATTTCGAATGTTTCATGAATTTTCAAATGTGATGTTTCAAATTCATTCAAGTATGTGTGAATAAAATTTTTCTATTAACATTTTATCGAAGGGCTGAGGGAAGAGATAGAACCGTAAAAAAGACAATCGGTTGTATAGAAAAAAGGGATAATAAGAATAATGATCATGATAATAACATTCAACTAAGTTGAAAATCTGACAAAATTAGTTGAAAATAAATCTTATTCAATTTAATAAAATGAAATAAACAATGAATTATAGATGATGGGAGGAAATGATGTGCAAAATAACCATTCGGAACCATATTGCTAATTTATTAGCAAAAATAAATATACTACATGCAATACAAGAGCAATTTCCCAGTTGTTTTTTTTTTCAAATCTATTTTTTTTCTATAATTCAGTACCTACGGGGGCAAAACGGGTCGTCTTATAGTGTTTTCTTATTTTTTCCCAGTTTAAAGTAATCGATCGTCGTTTCTCGGATTTTTCCCCGAAATTCCGTTGTTCCTCTCAAAAAAATAGGGATGTGTATTCTGGCACCGGAAGTGCATAGACAAAAGCCATATTGAGAGTTTGAGATACGACAAATGTTGAGTGTTGAGAGACAGATCGGTGTCGAGCCTCCACTCGAATATTTTTCGTGAGAGTATGTCCACGAGACGGTGGGACAATTTGCAGTTAATTGGCATCTATTAACTTAATTGTCCCCCACCATAATCTTTCGTACCACGGGACAGACGTCCGCATGCATCATTCAGTGTCTTTGGACTGAATATCCAACACTTGGATTGCTCCCCTCGTTCTCGAGGAGGAAAACATTTTTTTTTCCAATGCGAGTGCGGAAAAGTGGGTTTTGGCTTGTGAAAGTGCGCAGCCTCCCCATTTTACTTAATTTTTAAGTCAATTTTTCATTTGAGAAATAGCATTTTATTTTTCAATTGTTAATTTACGTTTAAGGAAAGTATGTAAACACATCAGAGCTTTCATTTGAGCCCCATTTGATCCTAAGTTTCCGAATATTTTGCAGTGATTTTATTATTTAACCTCCGCAGATCCGAATTGGAATCTCGATATTGAGCCGTTAGAAAACACTTTAAAAAACTGAAAAAAAATTATGACATTTACTTTTATAGAAAGATTGATGAAGTAATTAAAAAATTGGAATTTAAAAAAATTAGGAGCATTGTCTATAAATATTGATTTATAAACAATCAATTTCTCACCATAAAAATCATTTGCACGGAGAGAAATATTCAATGAAAATTCCGGAGCGAAATGTGCTTGTAGGAAGTTTCACGGAACTGTCACGGAATTTTTCCAGAGCGTTCCGTAATTTTTATCTGAATCTCCAGTGAAAAATTACGATACCGTCACTTAAATTTTCTGAGTCGATTCCGTAATCGGCGAGCGAACTGTGAGTTCCGTAATTTTTACTGAACATTTCTCTCGGTGTGTTCGGAATCGTAACAAATTTGTTCATATTCAGAATTTTACCAGAAATCGATTTCATGCCTAAAAAATAATGTTTCCGAACGTTGAAATAATTTCAATCATTTATTTATAAACAACGAATGTTAAAAAAAATAATAATTCTGTACAAAATGTAATTTCAATGACGCTGAATGTTCTTGATTTTCTTCAAATTTTTCTCACGCAATTTAATTGAAAAATTTGATGATTGAAAATGGTAAAAGATATTTGGATATCCTCAAGCACTCCCGAAACGGAAAAATATCAAACACCCAAATGCCCAAATTTTCTCATTCAATCCCCCATACGCCCATCTTTTCCCCTCCACTTGAGTAAGCACTAAAAGTTGATCAAATAAACACACATTAAATCATCCGGGCATATTTACTCCCGAATCGCCCCGAGAAATTGAAAATTTTCCCCGTCTCTCCGACAACAATGGCCACTTCCCGTCATCCTGAGGGCCCCCAGTCGTCATAAAACGAGACCCGCATGCCCACCAAACGCGGGGCGTTCCTGTGCCCCCCTCATACTTGTTAAGAACCAGACGTTCCACATGTGGAAGATAAGGAGAAGTGCAGAAATCGTCTCCTCTTACCTCCTGGGAAATATCCGAAGAAAATCCGACAAAGGAGATTTTTTTTCCCCCAAATTTTTTTTTCTCCGCGACTCGAGGACCTTTTTGACGCCAGACGGTGGCACTTGATGTGGGACAACACCCGATGACTTTTTCTCATTCATTTTTTTTCTTCTTTGTTGCAGAAATGTCATGCTGCTCATATGCCACTGGGTCCTGCCGCAACGTCTGCTCTCAGGTACGATTTTTTTTCAATGTCTCCATTCGGTTTTTTTTTATTCTGACAAATTGGAGATTCGGGATTCGTGCATTTCTCAAATAAAAATTTTGTCTTCAGACGACGGCCCATATTGCCCCGGTAATTTAGAGTCATTTGAAAAAAAATAATGTAACGGTTTTTGTGGTACAGTAATCCTTGAAACATATCTCCTGTAACGGAAAATGCAACGGAAGTTGCGCAGTCGACGACTGCGCACGGAGGAAATACGATGCGCACAGTCATGTGTACGTGTCAATACGTCAAAGCCGTCAACGCGTGGTTTGATGTGATAAGAGAAATGATTTCTCGTTATTATTTAAAAATCATCGCTCCAAAACGAATTAAAGCACGTAGAAAAATTTCCTCATTTTCATCGTGATCCATCTTATGAAAGTGATGACGATGTAGGGAATTGATTAATTGTTATGATGTGTAAACATCTTAGCTCTCTTCATCGAAATTTTGTGGTGGAGTAATCCCTGGAAAATCTCATGTAACGAAAAACCCAACGGAAGTTGCGCAGTCGACGACTGCGCATGGAGGGAGTACGATGCGCACAGTCATGCGCACATGTACAACGGATACACTAACTGGGTCGCAACAATGCCCCAGTGTCAATTGAAATATCTCAAAAACTATTGAGAAGTGATCGTGACATCCTGTGTGACAAATCTAGGGAATTTCATGGCAAATAAAATGGCTTCCAACTCGTGTCTCTACGAATCGTAGTTCTCAGCACGTGGACGTTTGTGAACAGGAGCGTTCCACTGCGCACGCGCTCACTCATAAACTAAAGGTCTCGAGCCACTCACTCAAACAAACGATAACGTCTCGAGAATTGTGAGTCGCAGAGACATGAGTTAAAACCATTTTATTCGTCAACAAAATTGGGACTCTGTATGTGCATTGGTTCTTCTACCGGAAATCCCTCGAGTCTTTCAGATTGATCTGAGACCGGAGTGAATTTACAAATTCACCAGGTATTTTTAAGAATTTCGGGTGGGTGGGACCGAGGGAGATTGCATCGGGCCCCGCTGGGAGATTTACACATCGACCCCAGGGGGCGCGGTCATTCATACGCAAATATTATACGAGAAACGACTCTGCGACAATAAGAATATCAGAAGGGATGAACTTAAAAAATCGGAAGAATTAAAAAACGAATTGCTGGAGAAATATTATCCAATCCTCTCGATCTGCCTCGGGGTATCATATTCCCGGGTATACTTATGCGCCATAAAATTCCCCAGTCAGAACAATAATCTGGAATCAAACATGGGGCAAACAAATTCAAAATTTCTATTAATTAAATTTCTTTGATGAACAAATTAAATTTGCGAGTAAAGAGTGGAAGTGAAATGAAATTCGTATAATTTGTTGAAGAATTTTTTTAATGGCGAACATTGTGAAGTAAAAATGGGACACTTGAATGGAGATAATTTATCGAGTCATTCGTGAATGCCTCTAGTGGGGGAGGGTGCAGATATCATAAATAGCCCAATTTTTTTAGTAGGCGAAGAGGGAGAAAGTCGCTTTGAAATTTTGTGCGTGATGACGGATCTGAGGTTGGAGAACCCCCAAGTGTTTTTCTTTTTGAGGACGAGATTGTAAGAAGTGACGAAGATACAACACTGCTGTGACTACTGATGAGAACTTCCTGGCATCGGCATCTGAAAGTTAAATATAAGCGGAAGTTGATGATGCGTTCGATGCAGTTTAGCCAATTTTCGAAGTTCACGTACGATAAAATTTCATTGAAAAACCTTATGAACTCGTTGGAAAATTCTATTGGAATTCGATTGCACTTTTTATTTGCTCTTGGTCGATACTATTAACAAATTCCATAAAAATTTTCAGTAGAATATTACATTAAAGAATAAAAAAATTAGAATTAGATTTTTTTATTCAACTTACTCTATTGACATAATTTTTGTAGAAATTCCTCGGTTCAAATTTTCAAACTTATTTCGTTTGACTTTTTTAATAAAAGGAGAAAAAAATAGAGCGAAAAAAACATGGAAAATGTTGTGTAGAAATTCCACTGATTTTTTCTAAAAAATGATTTCAAAATTCAATAGAATTTATACTATAAGTTTTAATAATCTCTCCAAATTAATCTGTTGACATTCACTTGAAGAAAAATAGAACATATTGAACAAAGAAACGATGAAATATTAATTCTCAAGCGAAAGAAGTATAAATAAACCTTCTATTACATACGGAAACTTAAAAAAAAAAAGATAAATCCAGAGTGAATTTTTCACGGTTTTTCGCACCCGAGTAAATGCAAACACTGCGGAATGAGTAAAAAATCCGCGTGGCATGCCTCCAAGAATATCGCAGCGATGAAAATAGGTATTTAGAACTCTTCAGGCTCTCCCCCTGTCGTCAGGAACTTCATAAGACCACAAATGACACTTCAAAACCTCGAAAATCTCGAGATATCATCCCAAAAATTCCAAATCCTTTATTTTTCTTCAATTTCTCCAACATTTTTCTCAATTCTTTCCCTGTCTAAAAAGATGACTGTAACTGATTTTGAAGTCAGTAAATGCGCCTTACTGTATATATAGTATCAGTAGGTGCAGAGCTTAGCCGTCGAATATTATTATATAAATACTTTATAATATTATATTATATTATATTACATGTATTATTATTGTATTAATATATAAATATATATGCATGGCGATTATCGTGAAATTTTGTAAATGAAAGCGACAGTGATTGTGATGATCTTAACCTTAGTCTGGTCACCTGACGGGAAAATGCGACTTTAGTCACCTTCGCGGGAGAGTGCCGCCGTGTTATTTAGGCTCCACCGTTGCCGAAACCACTCTACAGTTCCCGGGCGCGTTTAGCGAGTTCCCAGCAACGTCGCGCAACATGCAATTTCATTTAACGCGGGAAAAAATTGTTCACCTGTTGGAAATAATTTTTTTTCTCCCAGAATTAAGGATACAATATTGAAAAAAAATACTAGAATTTTCCAGATACTTCAATTGACGAATTCAATTTTTCTCAAATTTTTCCGGTCAACCAGTCGATGGCAAGGTGAATAAAACGACGTGTTGCGGCAATTCCCTCGCATGGTGACCAGTCTAGGGTTAATTGAAAAAATATGAAATATCTATTGTTTTAAAACCAAATCTTTTTTGTTAGTTTATAAAAGTGCATAAACATTCCATAATATTAATGATACACGCTTTCTTCCTTCTAGCCCCCCATTCTAGCTTGGGCGCGCGCCGCGTTTCTAGTCTTTCAAAAAACAGCGTCAATTTTTTACGTGACAAAAACACCAGATTAAATTTTTGTGATTATCAATAGTTCATAGTTCGATACGTATCACTCAAAAAAAAGATTAGTAGTAATCCCCTGATAGGAATAACAAACCTACCCGATCCCATTTCCATGATTCCCACCGATGACGCCTTGAGATAAACAACTCAACTTCAATGCGTGACTAAGTCACGACCTCCCTAGTCCCCCCTTCCCCTGTGTGTCGAAGGAACCCAGGATAAAGATGCTAAACCTCTTGTAAAAACCCACATGAGACATACTAACAAGATAACCATACGACTATTGAATGACAACTAAGAGAATGAAATGTACGTCGACTTTTTTTTTACGTGTGATTCCCCACTGGTTGGGTGATTTCTTTACGATTGATATTCAGACGTTGAACAGGATATTGCTCCAAGCACGAGGGTGCATGACCAAGCCTTTTAATCGTTCAAAAATTTCGAATTGCACGAACTCACGATTTTTTTTCTGAAGGAAAATCATTTTTCTATACTACGAAAAAAAGACGACGAGTGAAAACATTTTTTGATATATTTTTTCAAGATTTCTCTGGTGGTCCTGAAAAATTTAGAATTGCACGAACTCAAGATTTTTTTTCTGAAAGAAAATAATTTTTCTATTCTACGATAAAAGACGACGAGTGAAAACATTTTTTGATATATTTTTTCAAGATTTCTCTGGTGGTCCTGAAAAATTTAGAATTGCACGAACTCAAGATTTTTTTTCTGAAGGAAAATATTTTCTCTATTCTAAGAAAAACAAAACGAAAGGTGAAAACATTTTTTGATACATTTTTTCAAGATTTCTCTGGTGGCCCTGGGAGCCGATTCAACAGCCCGAGAAAATTCTACTCGACAATTGCAAGAATTCTGTTCAACTGGTCTGGTGAGAAATTTTTGTAATAAAAAAAATTACTTTGAAAGTTGATCGCTATCCCTTTGAATGCGACCGACAATGGCCTCCCTTTTTTCATCATCACCTCATGTTTCAGACACGTTTTTGGACATGCGTCAATTCTACTCTTGACGGTAAGTTGAGACCTAATTTTTCCACAGAACTACACTGAGGAAAAAATTATTTTTGCCAAATATTCATTTACTCGATAGAAGCATTTATTTTTTCAAAATCGTATTTCTCCAATCCCGGAATGGCCATCTTCCGATTCTTCAATATTAAAAGAATTTGCGACTCACATCAAGTCGATTTTGACTGTTGACCATTTTTTGATGAATATCTCGAAATCTAAGAGAGACAGCAAAATTTTTCTCCTGACATTTTTTATACCTCTCAATTGGCTGTACAAAAAAGGTCATGACAAAAATTTTTGTATTTCTTTCAGATTCCGAGATATTCGTCAAAAAATGGCCAATAGTCAAAATCGACTTAATCCGGTTTACCGCTTCGCTACTGAAATATACTAATCGAAATAAAATAATAATAATAAAATAATTAATAATTTAAATTTCCAATTGATGATGAATTAAATATCTGAAAATATGGAACTATAAATTTTCTATTAAATAGATGATACTGAAATTCTTTTAAGGGATTTCCGACTGTCCAAATAATCGTCAATCTTCCTAATTCAATTACTGATTAATGAATAATTCAAAATTTTACTATTTAAACTGATGATTACGTTAATAATTGAAATTTAAGTGATATTAACTAATTTTATAATTCAGAAGCTGTAAAAAATGAAGACTGGTCGGGCCGTCAGTGCTGCCAGTTCGCTCAATACCCGATTTGTCGGTCGACATGTGCCCTGGCGGGCTCCCGAGAGGGTCTGAAAGGCTCCTGCCGACCGAGTGACGAGCCAGAATTCTATACCTGCTTAGAAAGACGAGAGGATGGTGAGAAATGCTGCAGTAATGTCGCCAACGCGACCTGCCGAACAGTCTGTCGTGAGCTATTCGATAAGCCCAAGAAGCCATCGAGTCTGAAATTTTACAGCAGCAAGGGCTGTTTTCACCAGGTGCCCAAGTGCCTGAAAAACGCAGCAGAAGCGTCGAGCGCCGAAAATCCCAAGCAATGTAAAGATTTCATTGAAATCATTCCAACCGTTTCCATTCATCTCAAAAAACAGTAATTTTAAACCTCGTTTAGTCATCATACGCGATCTTGCGATTTGGTCCGTTCCGCGGGGATTCGGCGCGGTTTTATTTAGGCTTCGGTGTTGCCGAATTTACTCTAGACTGTCCGGACGCGTGTAGCGAGTTTGCGGCAACGTCGCACAACGGACGGAAGCCGTTCCGCATGAAAAACAATTACGCGTCCTTTCGAAATAATTTGTTTTCTTTAGGAATTCGAGATATAAATCATTTTAAAAAATTGTATAATTTTCTAGACACTTCAGTTAATGAATCTAGGGTTAAATAAATAATTTAAAGAATGGAAGAATCGAAAGACTCTTTCACATTTGCCAAATCCCCACAATCAATGAATAAAGAATACGATTTTCAATTTAAAAAATAACTTATTTAATTTACCCATCTCAGATTTGCATTGTTGTCACGAGGCACCCGACGCCCCCTGCCTAGACGCCTGTCGTCACGTCCTCCTAACAGCAGTAACAATCAAAGACATCTTAGACACCCTAGAGGAGAAATGTCCGCCAGTTCAGCTCCATTCTCCCTTCTGGAGTTGCTTCCTGCAGGCAGCCCCAATGAAACCCTCGCGACTACCCCTGGACATCGGGAAATTGGGCTGCTGCTCACGCGCCACCAGTGCCAGCTGCCAGAATCTCTGCTGGCGAGCGTTTCAGGCGGACTGGGAGGCGGCGTCAATTCAACTGGAGTCCGAGTGCCTCCCCTCCGGCGCTGAAGGAGAACTCAGAAGGTGCCTGGAGGAGGCGGATGAACCATGCGAGATGGGATGCACTGGCTTATCCTACTGCTCAAATTTCAATAACAGACCGACAACCCTATTCCGGTGAGTCCCTTCAAACTTCATCCGCATCTCCCTAGGCCCGTCATTTTGATTTTTACGATAAAAAAGTTCGGACTCCAAATGTGCGCCAAAGTATCATGACCCCAACGCACTTTGATTTTTCCAAAAATCTCCACAATCACCCGAGAAATGCTAAATCATGTCTCTGTAATTTCCAGAGCCTGTTCCGCCGAATCGGACGCCACGGCGAAGCACGAGGTGGACCACTGGGCCCGTGGCGCGATTATCCGGGGTTTGGGCCTCCCCGTTCGCGTCGACCCATCCTGCCCCGCAGAGTCCCTCAAAGCAGCCGTCTGCTTCCTCCAACTCCGCCCGTGTGAGCCCCAAGCCCACGAAACGCGTCTCTGCAGGAACGACTGCATCGACCTTCTGACCAACTGCGTCGACTGGTCCCTAACTTCCGCCACCCAGTCCGCCGTATCCCTCTGCTCCCGCCTGTCCCCCTCCCGTCCCGAGATGCCTTGCATCTCCCTGAAGCCCTTCCTCAACCCGATCCTCCCCGAAAAAGAAAGAATTACAAACCCCTGCCGAGATTCCCAGTGCGCAAAATCCGAAGTCTGCGTTCCGCAACCATACACAGCGGACAATGCCGCCGCCTACCAGTGCATTCCCGGTTGTTCCCTGGGAGAGATGTCGCACCTCCAAGTCCCGCAGAACGCCTGGGTGCAGATCCCAAGGGAAGACCAGATCGGCTGCCTCCGAATCTGCCAGTGTACGCAAAATGGCGTCGAAAAGTGCCGCAACCTCAACTGCTTTCCCGTGAACTCTTGCTTCATCCAGAACCGCTACATCGCGCACCGGACGAAGTTCTACCTGGACTGCAAGCCCTGTCTCTGCTTTGAGGGGGAGATCACGTGTTCTAGGAGGCCCTGCGGGGACCAACGGGTGCCATCCCTTCCCTGCGAATGTCTGGCCCATTACGTTCCGGTCTGCGGACGATCGGGCGTCACTCTCGCTTCCTCGTGCATCGCGAAGTGCCGGGGCCTCGAGAACGATGACTTTGAGTTCGGGAGTTGTTCATCCAGAGACCCTTGCGCGAGTAACCCTTGCGGGAGTGGGGAGAAGTGCTTGAGAAGGGCCCGGGTCTGTCTGGCCCCGATCTACAAACCCTGCAAGCAGTACGAGTGCGTTCCCGCGAACTGTGAGGTGCAGAAAAAAACTTTGGGTATACAACGCCGGGTCTGCGATAAGGATCACAGGGAGCACACCTCAGTTTGTGATTTGGTAAAGAGTGGAGGGGCCCTAGGGTACTGGGGCCCCTGCCTCAGGGAGTGCAGCTTGCGAGGGCCAGTCTGCGGGATAAACGGCGAGGTTTACGCCAATGAGTGCGCGGCGTGGGCGGAGAATACCATCATGGATTACTTTGGGCCCTGTATGGCGATTGGAAGGGCCGGGGAGGGCTGCGGGGACGCGGTCCAGTGTCCGGAGACTCCTGAGGAATGCCCTGGGGTCATCCCACCCGGGGCCTGTTGCAGGGTCTGTGGCGCTGCTGCCAGGTTATTCTACTCCAGGAAACAGGTACAGTAGGACTTTCCCATTGACGCATCCTTATAGCCAATCAGAATTGAGAGAATAGAATTGGCGGGAAAATTCCGCAATCTGATTGGTTGGACGAATGGGCATTATTTAGGCGTTAAAGAGTGGGGATTAAGGACGTTACGGTGCGGTCTTATACACGAGGTTGAATGGGGCATCGACGACTAGCATTTTGCCTGTATTATGGACCATATAGACAATATGGCAAAAGTGAACATATTGATGCCCCATTTAAGGTGTTTCGCGTGTAGATCACCGGGGGGTGAAACGGAAGGGGTCTCATTGTTCTCGAGTCCTGATTCAATCGCTGAGCATGAAATTTTCCAATTTTCAAGTAACTATTTAAGTGTGCATTTGAACATTTTTTGAATACTGATTTTATTCATCAGATTGATTGATTTTTTTCTCATCACCTACCGGTGTCAAATAATTTTTATTGCATGTTATTCTAATTATTGAAATAATATTAAAATTCGTTTCGAGTTGGTGAACCTGTCGAGTGTTTTCTCTCTCTCCGTTCCATGGTCCAACCCATATCTTTCCCATGATGCTCATTGACGTTCGAATCACGCGCCTGTGCGTGAGGGCGTAATTGCCCCGAAACTCATAATTTTCCGAATCATTTGTTCAAATAACTTTCTTATGAAATCTGAAAAAAATCTGAAACTTATTCGTGTTTTCAAGAAAGATTTGATTTATCACCCACTAGTTTTTTCTCAATAGCTGATTATTTTTTTGGGTGCCATAGAAATTTTCCTAATTGAGAGTGGGGTAACCTCGAATGTTATAGCTGGAAGGATTACAAAAACATCCAAATTTCATTTTTTTTTCTCGAAACTGAGATCGGAAGAAAATGTGCAAGAATTCTCAATGATCCAGCATATTTAGAAATTTCTCTCATGAATTTTCCTATTTTTTGATCATTATTTTGACTTTTTAACCAAAACACCTTAAACTCATGTCGAAGTAACAACTTTAGAAATTCTGTTGCTACCAAGCTCCCAGGCTATCTGAGATTTTACGCATGGTTTCTTGAAAGACCAAAGAATGTGCAAAAAAATGTTAAAATTAATTGAATTCCTCTCAGCTCGATCGCATCTACTACATGATGGAGGAAGAACGAGACAAAGAAGCGGTGACGCTAGAGGCCCTACTGTCAGCCCTGGGCCGACAAATCCAGATATCAGAATGCGTTCTTCGTGGCGGCATGACGCCAGAGGGCGACATCTTCATAATCATCCAACCAACCTCAAAAACCCCGTCGCTCCTCGAACATCGAGGATGCCTCGCCGAAATGGAGAAGATAGTCACTAGAATCGCAGAGAAAAGTCCGAAAGTAATTGCGGAAGTGCCACTGGGATCACTAACCGGCGCAGAGATGATCGATGACAAGCCATCCTCATGTTCAACATGGCGGACATCGATACCGCTGGTCCTCCTACCATTCCTGATCATCGGAGTTATCACGTAATTTCATCATCCCCTTTGTTCCCAAAATTTGAATGATCATTTGATTTTTGGGACAAATACTCATCCTCAAGACTGTGATTCTTCTAGTGCCTTACTTAAAGAAACAATCAATCAACCATTGACCAAGTTTTTATTAAAAATTAGTTACTTTCTTGATAGTTATCAATGATTTGCCAAAGATATAAAGGACTAATTTATCTTTTCTTTACAATGATTGAAGACTAAAAACTGAATGTTAATACGCTCATCCATGTAATGTACATAATATAAATAATTTAAGTGTTTATATGAGAAACTATTGACGATTAGATGTACATCAAGATATTTTATAAGGATTTTAATCAACATATGTTGTAGTCCAAAGAAAAAAAAATCATTTTATCGTATAGCTTTACTGAACACATGAAAAAGTAATTTACAAAACTTTGTAGCGACCCCTAGAGCCAGTGTGCGCCCCAGAGGACTGTAATTTGATGAGTTCCTCTTTGATGAGCCTAGACACCTCGGCTTTGGCTTTGCTAACGGCTAGTTCGCTGGTGGACTCAATGGCGAGGTAAAGTTTGCGTTCACCTTCAGGTGGGGCTTTGCCAGTGGCGATGTAGGTTCCCCTGACTGTCAGACCTGCTTCCGAATATTCGGAAATTTGGGCTAGTGCTTCTTTACTAGTGACACGCCACCTGGCTTGTTGTGGGAAGTCATTGATCTCCAATTCTTCCTCGTATTTCCTGAAGGTTTGTTCGCCAGGCTCACCCTCACCCTCGACCAAGTCCTCCTCCCTCGGTTGGTAGTTCAATTTTGTGTTGAGTTTGGCTGCCAGTTGTTCGGCAACAGTCTTCGCCTGAAAAGTGAGAGGTAACAGATTAAACCGTGAGAGAGACATCAACATTGGACAATTTCAGTTAACTATTTCCTGCGAGGGGGCTACGCCCCCCTTGCTTTGCTCGCTCTCCCCCTGAATAGTTTCCCATAAATGGCCTCCCAAATATAGCTCCTCAAATATGGCTCTCATACCCGCCACCCCATATATGAACAACCCCTCCTTCTGGCTACCCTGAATGACTCATCAGATGTGTCCCCTACCCCCTTCTTCCCATATATGAACAGCCCCTCCTCCACCTGATCCACCATATGTGGTCCCTCGAACAAGGCCCCCCAAATATGACCCCTGCCCCCTCCTAACCGTATATGAACAGTCCCACTCCCTCCTGCTCGCTCCCGATATATGACTCACCATATATGGCCCCCCCCTCGTCTCCCTTCCTTTTCTACTCCACATATGAACGGCCCCTCCCCCACCTGACCCACCATATGTGGTCCCTCGAACAAGGCCTCCCAAATAAGACCCCCACTCTCTCCTCACCATATATGAACAGCCCCTCCCCCGCCTACGCCCCCCTATGAATGACTCACCATATGTGTCCCCTACCCCCTTCTTCCCATACATGAACAGCCCCTCCTCCACCTGACCCACCATATGTGGTCCCTCGAACAAGGCCCCCCAAATATGACCCCCGCCCCCCGTCTCACAATATATGAACAGCCCTTCCTCCACCTGACCCACCATATGTGGTCCCTCGAATAAGGCCCCCCAAATATGACCCCCGCCCCCCGTCTCACAATATATGAACAGCCCTTCCTCCACCTGACCCACCATATGTGGTCCCTCGAATAAGGCCCCCCAAATATGACCCCCGCCCCCCGTCTCACAATATATGAACAGCCCTTCCTCCACCTGACCCACCATATGTGGTCCCTCGAATAAGGCCCCCCAAATATGACCCCCGCCCCCCGTCTCACAATATATGAACAGCCCTTCCTCCACCTGACCCACCATATGTGGTCCCTCGAACAAGGCCCCCCAAATATGACCCCTGCCCCCTCCTAACCGTATATGAACAGTCCCACTCCCTCCTGCTCGCTCCCGATATATGACTCACCATATATGGCCCCCCCCTCCGTCACCCTTCCTTCTCTACTCCACATATGAACGGCCCTTCCTTCTCCATCTGACCCACCATATGTAGTCCCTCGAACAAAGCCCTTCCAATATGACCCCCACCACCTCCTGACCATATATGAACAGCCCCTCCCCCTCCTCCGCCCCCCTATGAATGACTCACCACATGTGTCCCCCACTCCCTTCTTCCCATATATGAACAGCCCCTCCTCCACCTGATCCACCATATGTGGTCCCTCGAACAAGGCCCCCCAAATATGACCCCCGCCCCCCGCCTCACAATATATGCACAACCCTTCCCTCTCCTCCTGGCCCCCCATGTATGACTCACCATCTCTAGCTCCCACTCCTCCTTCACCCTTCTCTATATATGAACAGCTCCTCCTCCTCCACATGATCAACTACATGTGGTCCCCCGAACAAGGCCCCCCTCAATATGACCCCCACCCCCCTCCTCTCCATATTTATAAAATATCGAGGTAATCAGGAATATACTTACTGTGATAAGATTCGTAGGTCCAGCCCCCTTGAGTATNAATAACTTACTGTGATAAGATTCGTAGGTCCAGCCCCCTTGAGTATCGCCTCAGCCGCTTGCTGGGTCGCCCCCTTGGCCTCGGCCCCCAGATTCTTCGCGATGTTGATCTTCGACGCAAGTCTCCTCGCCAACTCCAACTTATCCGTGGCACTGTTCACCGGTTGTCCAGGAACAGTGACACTAGTGGTAGAAGGTCTCGCAATCTCCCTCACTGTTCTCTTAGGTGCCAGCATACTCTCAATCTGCTGATCAATATCATTCTCGATATCCTCATCATCAGAATCCTGAAGTCCCAACGCAGCCTTCTGGAACTTCTTCTTCTCATTAGCAAGAGCTGCCTCAGACTCATCGAACTTGAAGCCCTTTCCACTGAATCCTCCGCCTGTATGGAGCTTCTTCCCCTCCGCCGCTTGTTTCGCCCTGTACCTATCCCAAAGGATCCTCAGAGGTTCTGGAACGGGAGCACCAGCGAGCTCATAAGCCCTCACGATTTCCCCCGCGTACCGCTCCTGCTCGGTCGTGATGAAGGTGTAAGCATACCCCTTGTTACCAGCTCTTCCCGTCCTGCCGCATCGATGAACGTAATCCTCGTAATGATTCGGACAATCGTAATTGATGACGAGCACCAGCTGCTTGACGTCTAACCCTCTCGCAGCCACCGAAGTAGCCACAAGGATCTTCGTCCGCCCAGCTTTGAAATCAATCATCGTTGAATCTCTGTCGCACTGATCAATGCCTCCATGAAGAGACATGCAGGAGTACGAAGCCTTCATCAAATCCTTCAACAACGTATCCGCGTTCTCCTGCTTGTCCACAAAGATGATTGTCGATCCCTTATCCTGATAGTGCCCCAAGATCTCCAACAACTTGTAGAACTTCTGGTCTTCTTCCAAGACAACCACGTGTTGCTCCACGTCCTTGCAGACGACCGATCTCCCCCCGACCTGGACCTCAACCGGTCTCGTGAGTATCCTCCGAGCTAGTGCTTCCATCTGCCGAGGAAAGGTCGCAGAGAACAGGACAGTCTGTCGATCTGGTCGAACATTTTCCATGATCCGCATAACTTGCGGCTCAAACCCCATATCAAACATTCGATCAGCTTCGTCAAGAACTACGTAAGTGACTCTACGTAAATTAGTAACTCTACCGGAGTTAGCTGCAAGCATGTCGATCATCCTGCCCGGTGTGCAGACGATTATTTCAGCTCCGCGTTTGAGCTCCGCGATCTGTTCGGAGATGCCGGTGCCTCCGTACACACAGACATGACTGAGACCCAACGACTTTGTGAACTTCTTGGAGTCCCTTCCGATCTGCATACAGAGTTCGCGAGTCGGTGTCATTATCAACGCGATAGGGCCGTCACCGTCCGCCAATGGCGGCTGGTCCAGAATATGTCTGAACATGGGCAACAGAAACGCGAGGGTCTTCCCACTTCCAGTTTTCGCGATTCCGATCAGATCTCTGCCAGACATTATAGCGGGAATCGCTTGACATTGAATAGGCGTCGGTTTTTCATAGCCTAGCTTCTTAAGGACTTCCAATTCCTTCTTCGTCACACCGCATTGTGCCCAAGATTTGATCGGCTTCGGGCAACCCTTCCCCTTGACCCTGATCCCCTCGAGTTCCTCCTTGTAAGCCTCAACCTCCTCCCCCGTCATTCTCGCGATCTCCGGAACTTCTACGTAAAAAGACTTTCGGAACGGCGCGTATTCCGTTGTGGCGTGATCCACCTTCGCGAGTTCGCGTTTTTGTTTGTTCGCGATTCCGGCCGCGGTCTCATGAAGGTTCTCCCCCTCCTCCTCACTTGAGTATTCAAGACCGTCCTGATTCTGCTCTATCAGTTCTCCCTTTTGCTTCTGGACTTTCTTCTTCGCGACGCCCGTTACGAAGACAACTCCACCGCTTTGAGGGTTTCCCGCGGAGCCATTGGTGTTCGACTTACCTTTCTCGAATTTATTGACCTTGCGGACTTCCTCTTGAACTTCAGCCATGAACGCGTCAAGGGGATCAATCTCGTCTTCTTCAGGCCTGACGACCGCAGTAATTTCTTCTTCTTCCTTCGGTTCATCTCCATCCTTCGGGTCTTTGAGGTGCACCGGGAGGGGAGTCTCTTCGTCGCTGTCGTCCTCCAAAGACCACTTCTTCATGGGCAACTGGAGGTTAGCCAGGATGGAGGACTTACCGTCTTTCTTCGTGGCCTCAAGCTCATTCTTCTTGCGCTCCGCGCGCCATCTCTCGATCCTCTCGCGTCGCTTCTGCATTTCTAGTTCAAGCCGCTTCTGTTCTTCCTCTTTGTCCAGTTTCGTGTGGTCGAAGGGCAAGTCTTCATTATCGACTTTCTCTTTGTCCTTCTTGTCGCGAGATCGAGATCGCTTTCGGTCTTTTCCCCGAGAGGATTTCGACGATTCAACGCGTTTCTCTTTACTGTCTCCGCGCTTTCGGTCGCGGTCGCGATCGCGTTCGGAGCGATCTCTTCGGGGCTCACGGTCGCGTTCGCGGGAACGACTGCGCCGATCCCTGTGGCGGGTGGACTTCTCACGCTCGCGATCGCGATCTCTACTACGGGATCGCTTGCGTTTTTTCTCGGGAGAGGGCGAACGCGAGCGGGAGCGGGACCTCGAACGTCTTCTGTGATGCCTTTCTCTGTGGGAATGGAAGATTTTTTTGTAGCATCTTAATTTCATTATAGACTGGAAAATTACAAAGAAAACGCCTTTTATTGAGATGAATTGATGTTTTATGATCTTCGTAATTCCATTGTTGGGGAAAGCCGTGGGGAAGATATTATACCGACAGGGAAACACATAAGGGATAAGTAATAAATATAACCCAGCAAACAGTATGTCGACAATTTGTCGACAAATTGTCGGCGTCCTGTTAAATTTTAGATGGCACTGGCAAAAATTGTTTTCTGGGAAGAAAGAGGTCCAATGCATAGGTGATAATGAGATGTTCACACATAAATTTCGAGTACTTGCAAATAGTATATTGTGTTACAAGTGCGTAAAGAACCACTTTTTCGCACGCACGCGTAACACATCCCATTTTTTGTAATACCTGCCGAGTGCACTGTTCAGAACCGTAGTGGGGGTAAAGTGGTTGCTTTTGTGCACGGTGTGCGTAAAGTTCAAGATCGTGTGTAAAGTGAATTTCGAGTTCGTGAAGTTTCGCTTTACGAGAATTCACTTTACGCACGACCTCTGAACTTTACGCACATTGTGCGTAAAACAACCACTTTACACACACTAAACGGTTTCGAAAAGTGAATTTTTGAGGTAGGTATTACAAAAAAGTACTTTTTGTGATACTTGCCTCAAAAGCGCACGTTTAGAAAGGATTTAGTGCGCGTAGTGTAGTTGTTTTCTGCACAGCGTGCGGAAAGCTTCGCTTTATGCACTCGAAATTTATTTTTTGTCGTACCTGCCTGAAAAATGCACTTTTCGAAACCGTTTTAATGTGCCTAGCGGTTGTTTTCCGCAGAGCGTGCGTAAAGTTGTGGACACTCGTGCACAAAAATAACCACTTTACCCCCATTACCGTTCCGAACAGTGATCTCGGCAGGTATCACAAAAAATAGGATGTGTTACACGTGCGTGCGAAAAAGTGGATTTTTACGTACTAGTAACACAATATACTATTTGATCACTTGTACGTAACGTGCAATTTTACGCAAAATTCCGCTTTCCACACATCGACATTTCCTAATAAAATAAGGGTATTTCAATTTTCTTTTTAAAACTCAAAATTCTCAAAATTCATGTGAAAGCTTCTATTCACATCCATTTCTAAGTCTCACGGAGCTCACAAATAATTTAATTTCTCTTCCTATGTAAACTATGTTATGTTATTTGTGCTTTTTGATACGCATAGGGGAGGATGGGGCAAAACGGCCCCCCTTCAATCGTCAATATTTTCCGATTCAATAATCCGATTGGGATGAGTTAGAGCTCGTTTTGAAGAATGAAAAATTATCTTCAAAATGAAGTTGAAACTGGGAATTTTCACGATGTCATTCACAAGTTATTGACAATTGAAGGGGGGCCGTTTTGCCCCACCCTCCCCTACTGATATTCGATATTTGACATGGAGTTTACGGATTTGTATGGGTATGATGTGTGCAGAGATGAGAATATTTGTTGGGGAAAATGAGATTTAGAATGAATTCTTGATCAAGAATTTTGTAATTTTTTTTCTTGGATTTTATTCCAAGAAACAAATGAAAATACAATTGAAAAAAATCAGAAAATTCGTGTCTCAGAGATTCTATAGAAAAATAAAAATCCACAGATTTTCTTCTGTGAAATATCTATCAAAACAAAACAAATAAAATGATAGAATAAATTTAAAATGAAATAAAATAAATAAATAAAATCAAATTGAATAAAATTTTTATATTATATCGATCGTTATCAATAATGTCAACGATAAAAATATACTTGTTATGTTCACTCCAGGTTCAATTAACCTCAAAACTAATGTGATTAATTTCGCTACTTACTTATCTCCACTCCGCACCATTTTCCTGCTCTTCCACTAACTTATATAGAAACAATTATGCTACACCCTCTCAATTGTTCGTAATGGCCTACTTCTCACTACAAGACACAAATAACATTATTATTTCTGTATATTAACAAAACGTATTGGACGCGACTGTGAATAATACCATTCTGCAGTCGTAGAGTCGAACTGACGAATCAACCGCATTCGGACAATTCCAGCTGCTTTCCCTTAACGGTGCGCTATGACTGCGCTTCCATGGGCTTGACTGTAAGTTTTGAAACGTAGGCAATGGGAAAAAACCTGTGGCGCCAGCTAGAACCGGCAATGTGGCCGTGATAACCTGCCGGTCGGTAATGCAGGTTTTCCGATGCCTTCGGACGGTGGAGGGACACCCGTCGGTAACTCATCGATGATTAGGATTAAATGTCTTGAGAGGTAATGGGGGGAACAGGCAGGTGGTAGTGAGGTAAGTTTAGACCGTTCAATATATTGAAAAATCCTGCGAAAATGTATTCTTTGCAGTCGACTCTTTGAATAAGATACTTCAACAATTAGTAGGGATTATTAATTGTCGATTATTCGGTAATTAGGTAGAATAGCACCTCCTACTCATTCTGGATACTGATAGGTAAATATTAACTTTTTTATATTGAACTTGAAGTAATTTGACGTATATTTTGTCGGAACCTAGTTGCAATAAATGAATTTAACCTCATGCTCATGTAGATGTACGGGACTTCCCTTTCTGCGCTTTCCCTTCTAAAAGCAATTTATGAAATTTCAATTATGAGGTGTTCATATAAATTCAACGTGTAGTGAAGCACTTATTTTTCAAAGTATCAAGTTTCACCAGCACTTAGCATTACCCAGGGTTCACGACGGGGACGCAGCTTTTATGAACCCCACAAAGGCCAAAATTTGACCCAGTCACCCCCTTCAAGTTATTTACTTAATTGAGTCCGACTCAATTTTTTTCCTGATTTCAATTTCTATTTATATTGGATGACAAAATAATTCAGCTTCCTCGAAAAATTCGTTGGAATTGCTATATTAACACATTACCGATTATTCAATATAGTTTTTTGGTTATTTCGTAAACTAGGGGGTACGAAAACTAGGGGGATATGACCCCCATAATTCTTATTCTGACCTTGTGACCCTTATTTTGACCCTGTTGCCCATTAGTTTCTGACCCTCATGTTCCTTATTTGGACCGTTTTGTGGGTTCTGACCCTTAATCTGAACCTTGTGACACTTATTCAGACCTTTAATCTAACCCTTGTTATCCTTATTTGGGCCCTTAATCTGACCCTTGCTCCTCATGACCCTTATTTTGACCCTTGAGGCCCTTATTCTAACCCTCATAACCGTTATTCTGACTCTCATGACCCTCAATTTTGCAGTCTTAGTTTCGAGTACCAATTTTTTATCACCAGAAGTCGATTCGGATTTTTATAATATAGAGAGATAATAGAAACATGATAGAAACACTGGAGTCAAAGGGTATTAAGGGTCAAACGGGAGAGACAAGTGGAGTAATCATAAGGGTCAGAAGTGAGTTTCAATTCTTGAGGAAGTTTGACCCATAAGATCAGTATTTTTTCGCATGGGCAATATATCGAATCGAAAATGAGAACTCGAACATGGCGGATATCTCGAGCGAATGGAGGAAGTAAGGCGTTTTTCATGAGTACAATGGTCTTCAAATTTTCATGAAGCCCGCCCAACAAACAAAAGAGAATTGAATACCACTCTATGAAACATGAATGAACGAATCATAATTGTCCAAATCATTTAGGTCAGAGGAAAATATTGCTTCTACTATTCTTAATATTCTTAATATTGCGTTTACTAAGGTTTTCTTCGAACAAAGTTGATTAGAATTGATAGCTAAAATTATGAGATTATCTGACATTTTTTACGTTAAGGATAGGAGAATCTGAATGCAATATAGGAAAAATGATGATGTTTTTTTTCACTTTGAACAAATAATATTAATATCCAAATACAACATTTCTGATATGAATAAAAATAAGCTGTGACACAATACTCCAAACGAAGTTTTAATTTTTAATTTGATGCTGACAACACGAGATGACAATATTCTAAGCGTGGAATTATGTTGATGAGATGAACAACAGATTAATTTAATAACCGTGTGAACTAACTAAAAATTGATAACACTGGGGGCACACACTTTTACCAGAGTATCAACAACCATTGAATTCCAGAAATTCCCGCTCTGAAATGTGTTTTAGAAGGAATTGAATTGTAATTATGGTTAAAATCTTATTCAGTTCGCATAGATTAATTGGCACATACGATTCTCATCGATCGTATTGCTTTTGCAATGAGAATAATTCACTAGCAAAGTGGTAAAAGGAGAAGTCAATTTTGACTATTGACCAGTTTTCAATCAATATCTCGGAATCTAAGGGAGATAGCAAAATTTTTGTTACAACCTTTTTTGTAGAGCCGATTGAGTGCTACAACAAATGTGATTACGAAAATTTCGCTATCTCCCTTAGGTTCGGAAATATTCCTCCAAAACTCAACTGGAAGATGAGTCGACTTATCTCCGTTTACCAGTTCACTACTGAATTATAAACAGTCAATTGAAAAACCGAACGGAGTTAAACATTCGGAAGGCGATGAAGGAGCCGGGAATAGGGGTAACTCTCCAGTCCTCGGGACCCCATGTATCTGACACCGGGATTCGACTGCACTTCACCTCCCCGGCAATCCTCAACTCAAACCCAAACCGACAATCTCACTCGGTGCGTGTCAATTCCACGGAAGTAGTCACTAGTTAGTAACGACTGTTTTGAATTACCTACGAGGGCCATTAATCGTTCTGACGTTTGTGTAGAGCCATATCTCATAATTGCATGTACCAATTGATCGCCCTCCCCCTCCTGTTTTCTACAACCAAACCAGAAATGATCAGCATGTATTAGTATAATGATTTATGCATCGTGACGGAGCAAAACTGTCACTTCACTGGGCTTCACACGCTGTACAAATTTTCTCTCCTTCGTTCAGTTGACAGAAGAAGTCGTTATGGTAATTCTAGTGACGTCACTGAGGCATAATTTTTTAGTCCGTTTGAACTTGATTATCAGTGGGTCAACGTGAATGCAGAGAGTTTTATGATTCATTTGTGAAGACCTTTGGCGCTGTTGGAACAATGCAGTCGGTGTGAGTGCGCAAAAAAATTTAGTTGGATGCCCCATTTGGCCCCATTACTGTCCAAGAGGCGTCTGGAAAGCTCATTTTATTGTCACAGCTGCTTGTGGACTTTTACTTCCTCTAAATGATCGACTCTGCTCATTTTTATGATGAGTGATATCTTTGGTGATTTTCGCTCATTCACGGAGAAAAGTGACAGAACAAGTCAAGTAATTGTGGATTTCTCGTGAGAATTATTTTTGCATCCATAGATGTATCTTTGCTTTCGAATGGCAAAAAGTCCAGTAATGTAATTGTTACGTTTACGTATGTAACAAATTTTTTCTTCAATTGTTCGCTAATTAATGGATGGAATTTAATCTTTTTTTCCAAATGAAGGTATTGTTGAGCCCTATCAATTGCCATTAATTAAATTTTAATTATTCAATCTTTTTTTTTAATTTTTAATTTGTTCAAAAATCGGTTGTGCTGATAATTAATAAAAATTTTGTGAATTGATTGAATGATGGCTTAAACAATTTGTTTGGATGTCCTTATGACCGAGTTCGAAGATGAAGGCGATAGTAATAATCGTTATTTTGATTTATTTGAAAATTTGCAAAAATATTGTATTTTTTGAAAATCTGAATTCTGGGGATATCTTTGAACATTATGCTTCAAATTAATTCAATCATAGGTTAAAATGTTTGTTTTAATGCCATTAAGTCGAAGTTAAAAGATGATTACGATAGCTATATTGATTGATTTAATTTTTATGATGATTGTTGAAAATTTCGAAGTTTTCATGAATTTTCCTGAAAGTGAGCTTACTGATGGTTTCTTCAAATGTGATGTCCCAAATTCATTCAAGTATGTATAAATCAAATTTTTCTATTAACATTTTATCGAAGGGCTGAGGGGAGCGATAGAACCGTAAAAAAGACAATCGGTTGTATAGAAGAAAAGGATAATAAGAATAATGATGATGATAACATTCAACTAAGTCGAAAATCTAACAAAATTAGTTAAAAATAAATCTTATTCAATTTAATAAAATGAAATAAACATTGAATTATAGATGATAGAAGGAAATGATGTGCAAAATAACTATTCGGCAGCAAATTACTAATTTATTAGCAAAAATAACTACACTATATGCAATACAACAGCAATTTCCCACTTGTTTTTTTACCGAACAAATCGTAAAATATCCTCCACAAGCAGATATTTTTTTATTGAATCACATTTCGCTCCACGATTGCCTTTTCTATTTTCTACACTGAGAGAAAAACAAACACGTTGTCAAACAAGTCTTGTTTGGGCCAACAAAATCGCTAGTTGAAAATTCCCAAAAAAGAATTTGTTTGGTTGGAATTTGAAAGTCTCAAACATGAATAATTGTTCTGATTTCGACAGCAACGAAATATTTGGCTCAAGAGGCGGAAAATTCACACCAGACGGTGCCTTGGGAAATTTATCAACAAATATTTTATCCCTAAGTTACAAGATTGCTGTCATATCATTATTATTGTTTCATTTAAGGGTTCATTTTTTGTCTGAGATTATTAGACAGCTGAAACAAAAAACTACTATCCCTTGTTTCGGATAAAACAAAGATTTTTCGGAAGCAAAATACGTATGGGAGTATCGAATAACGAAGGAGTAGTGCTAGAAATGACATTTCTTGCGTGTACGGGGAATGCAATTTTTTTTTAACTACTAAATCTATTTTTGCGACAAAAATTTTTCATTCCGGCGCACTCTTTGCATGTTTGGCACAAAAAAATCCTTTTTTGATGATTTTCAAAAAAATATTTTCTTAGCACAAGTAAGACTTGTTTAAGAACATTGTCGTTTTTCTCTCAGTGTAGGCAATTATTATCTAAACTTTCGCTCCGTGTGAAAGAATTTCATCATTTTTTTAAAATTTTTACAAATCAAAAACATTCCTCGGACAAAGCAGATAGCACACAATAATAAAACCCCAATGACTTTCTTGACATTCAAATGCTTCTAAAACAACACAAATTACTCGTACGGATTTGAGTGAAAGATGATAATAGTGAATT